ACTAAAATAAGTTTTTTTTAAATCTCATGATTTGAATAGTGAGTGAGTGATAAAGTTTTTATCCCAGAAATCATCCCTTAAGGGGGTGAGAATGGGGATGAAAATTTGTATGGGGAAGCAAGCTAGTATAAGAATATATGCAAGAAAAATCTCGAAGTTTTATTAGTGACAGTGACAGACCTTAGTACGATTTCTAAGAAAAAACAGCAAAATAGTGATGAAAAGAATAAAATAATATTATTGTAGAAAAAATATATAGAGAAAATAAACCATCTAACTTTCACATAGAGGATAGAAGAGCAAAATAAACTAGCGATTGGGCTTGATTGACAGATTTGATTATGAGACACGAATGTACAAACACAATTTGGGTAAGGCTGCCGTAATAAATAAAATTATAAATGGGAGATTGGAAGGATGGTGTAATGAAGCGTATTATTTTCAACTCAATCGGATGACGTCCTTGTATTGCTCTTACTGAGTGAAACAGACAGATAAAAACTTTATTGTGCGTAAAATAAATTAAAGGTATAGAGATAATTGTGTGTAGAAGGGATACAAAAAATCGAGGTTGGGGTGTTTCGGGCACACCATCGTTGGTTTGACGTGAAACGTCTTTTTCACCGAGTCGGTTTTAGTGTTTTTTTTTCAAAGTTATACTTCTTTTAGCATGTTTGGCAAAAATTATGAGTGTTAAATTTTTACGATACGCGCGCACACCGAAAGGCCACAATGAAAGAATATCATATATATCATTTTTCAGACAATAACAATGATTACTATGGCAACTTAATGCGACCTATTTCGTTACGGTTCACTTTTCTGACCGTACCCGTATGTTTCGGTATGATTTTAACGACGTTTCACGTCAAAAAGAATGTTAATGCAGTTTGTTTGGTACAAGCTATCTTGTATATATCTCGGTAGTCTTTTATAAGCCTTGGTGAGATGATTCTCCTAGAGTCTAGCACAAATAATAATACGGAGAGGGAGATCTTTGAAAGTATATAGCTACTAAAGAAATATCAACTTTTACATAATAATATAAAAAAATTAAAATTTCAATTAATAATTTTTCATTATTTTTTTATTATATTCATATTTGTCTATTTGGCATTATATTGCCATGCCATAGCGCACTCTCAACACTGTTCTGTTACTAAGAGAAATATACTCGTAAATGTCACTACGGTTTTAACTGGACTATAAATAACTATAATAAAATTATTTAACACATATAAAATCACATACAATGCACGAATGGCAAATATTTAACATCCACAAAAATCGAACCCGCATATTCAAGCTAAAAAATATTTTTTAATTCAAAAACTGTCAGAAAACCGCAATGAATATTATGGTTAAAGCATTTCTAAGTAGATATTGTATCAGTTATTGGCAACATTTGCGTTAGCATTGCAGTGCTATATTCCGTATTTCTCTAAGGAATAAACGTATCGGCGACAATCTATTTCTATGAAGAGTAAAAACTGTACAGGAAAATGTATTTTGACGTGAGATGAGATATATGAAATATTAATAGTATCTAACCCGTGGTTTACTCACGTATAAATATAATGGGAAAATAAAACGTTTTCCCTTTAGGAAGATCATATAAAAAAAATGAGTACGTGTAACCTTTACGCGGTTGAAGTAAAACTTCTTTGGCGCTGAGGCAGATACGGCAATTAAATTAAAAGAAATCAAAATATAAATATAATATTTTTTATAAAATTATTAGTATCTAATGTGGGGTTCACGATACCAGCAATAAAACCACCACACCATATATATATATATATATAATATTTTTATTTACTTAAATATAGAAAGATCATATTTCCACACATATGTTCCATTTTGTTTGTATTAAATGTTTTTATTATAATATTTAATTGCAGCCTTTATATAAAATGGTGTATTGTAACTTTATACTGTTCTCAGTAGTGCTATTCTCTAAGAACTTATATGTAAAACGATAGCTAAATCATTACATACATACATACCTACATTCATAGATAATTTACCGATGGTAGGACTCGGTAAAGCCTGAGGAGTCCGACTGGATGGGTACCGCCCCCCTATCTATTTCTCCCGCCAAGCAACAATGTCTGCATTGTTGTGTTCCGATTTGAAGGATAAGGTAGCCAGCGCAATTACAGGCAAGAGGCATATCATCTTAGTCCTCACTGTAACAACGCACCTGCGGTTCTGCATTTTTGTAACATAAAACCTAAGTGTATGAACCGTAGGTGTTATGGGCAACAGGTAAAACTTTCCATCAGGTGGGCTGTCTGCTCGTTTGCTAAATGCCATTAAAAAATACAACTGTTTGAAGTTATAGGTACAGTTGCAGGACAGTATTGAGTATGTATGTATTAGCACATGAGGAATGGGAATATATATAATATTAAATTAATAAAGACGTTGTATCACGTACAGAATGAATTTTGCCTCTTAAAAATACATAGATACGAACATAGAACCTCTTCCTTTTTGGAAGTCGGTTAAAAAGTAATCACACACCGATCTATGAGACCGTACAGTCAATTTTTTAAGTAAATTACTCAATCCAAGAAATAAATGTAAATATCTCCGCCACAGGAAAAAACTTATATTTAAAAAAATATATCGTTTAATTTATTCTTTGGATCGTAAAAAATTTAAAGAAGCCTAAAAGATGAAAAAAACGTCTTTTAAAATTATTTTTAAATCAGGGTACCTTTAAGTCAAAAACTGTATAAAATTTAATCTAAATCTAAACTAATAATAAAATTCTACCCGAGTCGAATCTGTACATTCAATATATTTTGGGAAATTTTATTGAAAAATCATTGCGATCGATACAAAGGCTGAACGTATCGTTTTTAGAATTTTTGTCTGTCTGCTTGGGAATATATTACGAGAACTGGATAGATTTTGATGAAATTTGGTATGATGATAGCTGTTTATCCGGGTCGACATATAGGATACTTTTTACTGCGGAATAATATCTCATCTCTGAGAAATCTATTCTAAACGTAGATAAAAGTAGCGAAAGGTGAAAAATTCGTCAACATTTTCGTAATCTAGCAAACGTTTGAAATGAAATGCGATGATAGAGATCAGGGCAGTTGAGCCAGTTCTCTTTACTTTTTACTTTGCGATTCTACGCTGTACCCAAACCTTTTACTTTTATCTAGTCCTACTGATTACACAATCGACATTTTAGCCTAAAATGTATTAGGAGAAGAATTTGTTACGTGGTCAGTTTACAAGATATCTTATAAAAAATGTAATTTCATTCAGATACAAATCATGTATTTCTTTGTTAAATTATTCTATAACTGCTTAATTCCTCATACAAACTTTCATCCCCATTTTCACCCCTTTAAGATGACTTCTGGAAAAACCTTTCCAGGGTCTCAATCTATCTTCTTAGCAAATTTCATCTGAATCGGTCCGGTAGTTTTTTAGTTTATTCGTTACAAACACACAAAAATATAAATCTTTCCTCTTTATGTTAGTAACGTAGATTATTTTAATCATCGTCAAGCTTCATCAGATAAGGTCTATATAACAATATTGTGATTTGTGATATCATCTAGTTTACACATTTAAATTTAAAACTAACACATTGGTTTCACGTACAGCTAACACTTATTAAAAACTACAAATAAGCTAACTTACACATATATAATACTAGCATTGCCCGCGACTCCACTCGCGTTCAGATCACCAAAAACCAAATTCTTAGGTTTTACATAATATTAGTATACTCTTACATTGCAGTTTTGTATTTTTTCTCAGAAATGAGACATTTTCTCGCGGTAAAAAGTATCTTATATGTTGACCCGGATAACCAGCTATCACCATACCAAATTTCATCAAAATCCCTCCAGTGGTTTTACTGGGATGCGGTAACAGGCAGACAGACACAAAAATTCTAAAAACTATACATTTAACCTCTGTATCGATAATAATGTTTATTTCAATAATATTTTCCAAAAAAATATTTAATGTACAGATTCGGCTTAGTTACAATTTTATTATATGTATAGATTAGTAAAGATATAAACCTTATATAATAGTATAAGAGAAATTGGATCTTATTGAATCAATAATAATATAAAGGAGCAGAAGTTCTCAAAGTTCGTGTTTAATTACCATAAGAAGAGAACACCTGAATAATACAAAATTGAAATCCTTCTCAGCATCGTCGATAAAAGCGGCTAATACCCTGTAAGGATAGCCTCATAAATATGTACAAGTTGAGTTTTAGACGTAAATTCAAAATGATTCTTGTGTGAAAATTTAAATTAATTTATTTAATGGTTTATGAACAAAGTTGTTATTACAGTTGCTTATAATATTAAAATATCGGGTTTATTGGATAATCATTTAATTACTTTGGCTCATGGCCCTAAATTCTTTTCATAAACTAATATATCAAAAATCTATCTGTAATTGGCAATGACGAAAAAAGGTACTGAACTAGTAAACTTCTCCTTCTCTGTTTGTCAAGCGATTTTCTTTTTCATTTCTTTAGTAGTTATTGACGAGTTCTAGTGTTATTTATATAAAAACTTTTTAACAAAAAATAAAAACCGACTTCCAGGCACTAAAATGTAAAAAATAACTAAACTGAGGTTTTCATTTAAAATAGATACCTAATCAGATATTTTTGAAGTCGGTGCCAGCCGATGCAAAGCAAATCTAATTCATTTCGATACGTAAAATATATATTTACCTATTAGATATTCATATCTTAAAATATTGTCGGCATCGACAGGTATTCATCTATGTTTTTCCCAAATTTTAAATAATGATTAAGGTACATTACAATTAAAAATTATATATAGATAGCATAATAGGGTAGTCGTTTATAACAACACATACGTATTTAGTAATTTCAATTATATTTTTTAACCAAATATTCAATATCTAAACTTAACTAAGTATAGTTGTTTTGTAGGAAAATAAAACATTAAATATAGTCAAATGTGAACAATTTATTATTATATAATATTATAAGTTTGTAAAATAAGTAGCGTCGCTAAAGTAACGACGAAATACACGGAGACCGACTTGGTGTCCTGACCTTGGTGAAGCTCCGCTAAACTTTCTCCTGTAAGAAATTATAATAAATTTAGAAATAACATTAAATAAAGCTAGTTGCCAGAGAATAAAATTAAAATAATATTAATTTATCTGGCTCGAAGGACCATTTCTAAACAGTCTGTAAACTTTAGGAAACAAAACAGTTTTGAAACTATTTAAATATTATTTTAAGTTTTAAATTTTATTTGTATTCAATAAAATAAAATATTAATGAGTAATCTTCTAATAATTGGATAGATTAGATTAAAAAGTTATTTTTTTTTATATTTGGCAATGATTAGACAACGAAATGTCTAATCATAGGATATATTAATTGCATCTAAGTTGTATGCTTGGCTATTAGTATATGATATTCACTGCCTAGTCGATTGAACCGTACTCTTAATCGAGCTCTATGTTTGTACTAGCGACTTGCGCTGGCTTCGCTCGGGCGCAATCTTATTTATACCTAACGCTTATATAAAACTATCATTTCATCTCTCCGTGACCATGATTGTTGTAAAGCATTCGAAACGTCGGGAATCAAAAATCAAAATAAATCCACGAAAAACAGATAATTTTATTTAAAATGTCATATATTCGCGTAAATCTAAGAAAGTATAATGTCTATGTATTAATCCAGGTCAAAGTCTATCTGCCTACTAAATTTAATCCAAATCCCTCCAGCCGTTAGCGTGACTGAGTAACAGACACAGACCAACATACATACATACATACATACATACATACATACATACATACATACATACATACATACATACATACATACATACATACATACATACATACATACATACATACATACACACATACATACATACATACACACATACATACATACATACACACACACACACACATACATACATACATACATACATACACAAAGACGAATACCACAGAGTTTAACTAACCATTACATGTCGAGCCCATAAAGCCATATTTCCAAGACGTATCGGCATTGATTCTAACCAAAGCACCCAGTAAGCGAATAACCAATTATCTAATTCGATGTATTCAAGGCGATGGGTGTAATTTATTGAGGTAGAAACACTAAGCGTTACAAAGGAATATCACGTTGCATAACAAATTCTCATCTATCATGTATGTGTATGTGAGACATGTGTTACTCGGTTTATTGATATAGATATTGTTAGAGAAATTGAACGTCGCGATAGTAACGAGCTTGTAGCTAAATTGTATCGTATATCGAGTACATATACCGGTGTTGTATTTGTCGAAAGTTTAGAGTTCCTTAAAGGAAAGGTCGAACAATATTATAACGTGACTAGCGAGTCACCCTTGCTCCAATCGCGTTCGTCGTTAAGTACATTTTAACGTTTAGTAGAGATTTCTTGGAGATGAGATATTTTACCGCAGTAAAAAGTATCCTATATGTTAACCCGGATACCCAGCTATAATCATATCAAATTTCATTAAAATCAATCCAGTGGTTTTCTTGTAATGCGTTTCCAGACAGACTGACAGACAAAAATTCTAAAAACTATAGATTTGGCTTCTGTATCGATAATAATGACTATTTCAATAAGATTTTCCAAAAAATATTTAATGTACAGATTCGACTTAGTTACACAAAATTTAAAGAAGCACATTTGTAAATATATGTAAACATTAAAAGTTCAGTGACTAAGGTATATTAATGTAACAAACAGACATACTTACATATTTGTAATATTCTATTTTAACATAATTATTAGAGGATATCGTGCGATTTAAATTATAAATATTGGTAAATCAGTGTTATTAGTACCAGCTGCAAATAAAATTAGACAAATATAATGTTGCTAGTTTCACTCATGTTTAATAAATATATAAAAATTCTAAAATATCTTACTTGGGATATTAAGTTGAAAATAGTTCATGTGAACCCATTTTTATAAAATTTAAATATTAAAGTAATTAAATTCATAATAAGCAATTTAGCGAATATGAACAAAAATGCTTATCATTTTAGGTGGCCAAAAGCTAAAACGTTAGCTTGAACTTTCTGTATAAGAATACAACCATGGCATAAAAATCCAAGGGTAATCCATCCAGTAGGTGATCGCGTTTAATCATGATTGGAAATTACGTAAGCTGCAAGGGTTGTCAAAATACAAATCTGTTTGTCTAAATGTCTTTGTGAGGGCCTGTTCACACGGTGACTTTTTAACAAGCCGTCGTGTCGCCTCTGAATATTCTGCGTTAATAAACTAAAAATGTGCACACCACGTTTCATAAAATGACGTATACCGTCTCCGCATATTTTGCGTTAATAAATGATAAATGCAGATTGTTTGCATATGTATTGATATAAACATGCGTCTAGCGTGTCGATAACGTTGTTTCACTGTGCGTCAAACGGGTTTCGAACGCGCGTTAAAAAGACGTCATGTGAATAGGCCCTTAGACTAGTTGAAGCAAAACGAATTATAAATAAAGGTACATACAAAAACATAGCTGTAGTTAGATACAAATCAATAATAATATATAAACATATTTCATTCTATTACATATATAATACATATTATAAGGAATGTAAAGGAATGCAAATTTTAATTTATGAATTTCAATAAACCAAAACGTTGATCTATTCACACTCGACTTATGCTGGAGTTGTTGATTTAGACGTTGTTAGTATAAGTCGAATCATAATAATATTAAAACAACATTGCGTAGATATGAATTAATATAATATTTGTTAACTTTATTTCGTATGTTTTGATTATAAAATGTTTTTTTTTTAATTTTTGCTCATTTTAATATTATCTATTACATTTTTTTAACATAACATCTAGTATATAGCTAGTTAGCATATTTTTTGGAAAATCTTATTGTAATGGTCATTATTATCGATACAGAGGCCGAATCTATAGTTTTAAGTTTTGTCTGTCTGTCTGTGACCGCATCACGAGAAAACCACTGGACAGATTTTGATGAAATTTGGTATGATGACAGCTGGTTATCGTGTGGTGTCATAATAGGGTGATGTCATTAACCTACTTTAAGTTAGTATTTAAGCTATTATATCTTGTTATATTAGAGACTTATTAAAGTGTATTCGAACCTAGTGGTTGTCTTATTACAATCCCGCTCCGAACCCTATATGGCGACCCTGCCAGCGCGTGCGCGAGTCCGGTGTCCGGCCGTATAAGGCAATGATAAAATAAACACTAAGTGAAATGTAAAGTTAAAGACAATAATTATAATTATGGCGTTATTATATTGCGAAATCCCATCGAAAGTGACTGTGAATTTGTGGCAAAGACTTTGTCAAAAATTAAAAATATGGGCAAGCAGCAATCCAAGGAGCAAGAAATTATAATCGCTCAAAACGGAGCTGGGAACTCTGCCTCCACGGAGCAATTATTGTGGCATGCCACCTCAACATCTTATGCTCTAATCGCAATTTGTGCTCTTCTTTTTGTTGGGGCCGCGATAATTCTGTTCCGATATTATCGGAAATGCCATGGCGAATGGATCCAGCGTGGGATAGAGGCTTATGACTTGAGAAGGTCTATGAGCACGCTAAGGCGACGAGAACGTGGGTCTGCTGCTACAGGGAATTCACCAGTGTGAGTGTGTGTGCGTGATGGTTCTTAAAAATGCGTAAAGAATATTATGTGGTTATTGAGTATTAGTGTAATCCTAGTTTAACATATTAATTATGTATTAATCTGTAATCATTCTAATATAAGTGTAAACCTATGTAACCGTATTAAAAAAAAATGTATTATGTATCCTTAGGTTATGGCAGATAAAATTAATGAAATATTAATAGAATTAAAGCATATTAAAGATTACCTAACGAAGTTAGGGCCTAGTAGAAGGACATCTAGTGTAAAAAACAAAAAGAGGGCCGAAGCAAAATTTTTATATGATAAATTTTGGTTATTAAGTAAGTCGCTTATAAAGCAAGTAGAAACTAAGGAAATAAAAAGTTCGGAGAGTCAAAAGCTTTGTGAAATATTCGATACAATTAATTCGATTTATTCGAAAATACTTCAACTTTGTTCTGAAAACATAGGTAGGTATCATAGTACAACAATCATGGAGAAGTTTGAGTTAAAAACTGCAGTTTCTCTGTTGCCAGTTATGACGGGTGATGAGAATGTCACTAAACAGTTAATTTCTAATATAGAAATGTATGAGTCAATGATTGATGATGATAGCAAAAAGCTACTGATACAGTTTGTTTTAAAATCTAGATTGTCAGAAAGCGCCAAGCTGCGCATGTGCTCTAATTATTTATCTGTTTCAGACTTAATCAAGGATATGCGAGATATATTGTTGCCTAAAAAATCTGACACAGCGATACAGTCTCAGCTACAATATGTTCGACAGGATAACACAAGTATTCAAGAGTTCGGTAAGCAAATTGAAAAATTATTTGTTGATTTGACAGTTTCTCAGGCCAACGGTAACTCTAGCTCTTATGAAATTTTAAAGCCAATAAACGAGCGTATTGCGATAAAGAGATTTGCCGATGGCCTGCGGAATAGTCGTCTTAGTACGATCATAGCGGCTAGAAACTATAGCTCGCTAAAAGACGCTATTCAAGGTGCGTTGGATGAGACCTTATCGAGCGGAAGGGAAGAGCGAATGATGAATTTTCATCATAACAGAGGTAGGTCTAGTTTTCATAACTCTTTTTATAACCGTAACCAACCAGCAGGGTTTCATAAAAATGGTTATAGAGGGAATTCTAGAGGGATGCCCACTCCTCGGATTTTAAATAATCGTGGTCATGGTTATAGTTCTAGTAATCGTGGTAATGGTCGTAATTTCGCTTCTCGCGGAAAAAATTATTATCACGGTTCTAGCGGTTTTCGTGGCCAAGCATGGGTTCGTAGTCAGGCGCGACGGAATCAGATAAACTTTGCTGAAATGAATATTAGAGATAATTCAAAACAACAGTCTGAGGTCCAAGACAATAGTAACAAGGACAAAAATTGTTTTTTTCGTGCATGATCATTTTTATTGTGAAAATATTAATTCGGTTCATATAAATGTTTTTAATGAGTCTTGTAGTTGGCTAATTGACACCGGTGCCTCACTGTCGGTAATAAGACACGAGTTATTACATAAATGGGATGTTCCTTTCCATATAGAGCGCATTAAAATAAACGGTATTGGAGGACATATATTTTGCGATGGTTTTGTTTGTTTAGAATTAAACTATAATAACTTCTATTTTAAACACAAATTTTATGTTTTGAAAAACTTTTCATGTAGAACAGATGGTATATTAGGACAAGATTTTTTAAGTAAATTTAATTCTATATTAGATTTTGAACGAAATATTTTAACGCTTCAACAAGGTTCATCTATTGAAATACCTTTACAAATGGGTAAACTTGGCTATAATAATTATATAAAAATTCCGCCAAGGTGTGAATTTACTTACTTTATGCGAACTGACTTAAAAAATGAGTATGTAGTTATGCCTAAGCAATTGAGTGATGGAGTATTTTTAGCATCTGTTTTGGTTAGCCCTATTTGTGGTAAAATTCCACTGAAAATTTTAAATACTAGAGAAGAAGAAGTAAAACTAAGTTACTTCGTTCCTGAGGTAGTTAGTCTTAGTGATTATTCCTTGTGTTCATTTGAAAAAAGTAACGTGAATGCTGAACGTGTGAGAAAGTTATTTTCTATTTTGAATCTTAAAGATCTTACCAAAGAAGAACAAATTTCTATCGAAAATATATGTGCTAAATACTCCGATATTTTTTTATTGCCAGGAGATAAATTAGGAGTTACAAATTTATACCAGCAATCAATACATTTAAAAGATAATGCTATTCCTACGTACACAAAGCCTTATAGATTACCAAAAGTCAAAAACATGAAATCGATAGGCAAATTCAACAAATGTTAGATAACGATATTATAGAGGAAAGTAGAAGCGAATGGTCTAGTCCAGTTCTTCTCGTTCCGAAGAAAAGTGATAGTAATGGAAACAAAAAATGGAGGATTGTAATTGACTATAGGAAATTGAATGATAGGTTGAAAGATGATAAGTTTCCATTGCCTAACATAACAGAGATACTTGACTCTTTATCAGGTGCTATTTATTTTACACATTTAGATCTCAGTCAAAGTTATTATCAATTAGAGTTATGCCCAGACAGTAGAAAGTATACTGCATTTACTGCGGACAGGCAATACCAAATGAAACGACTTCCAATGGGTCTTAAAATTAGCCCAGGTGCTTTTAGTCGAATGATGACAGTAGCAATGTCTGGCTTACAATATGAAAAATGTCTTATTTATCTCGATGACGTTATATGTTTTGGGAGGAGTCTAAATTCCCATAATAATAATTTAATTGACATTTTTGAGAGTTTTCGGAAAGTAAATTTAAAACTAAATCCCGAAAAATGTAAATTTTTAACGAAGCAACTGTTATATTTAGGCCATGTAGTATCTTCTAAAGGTATCTTACCTGATCCAGAAAAAACCAGAGTATTGCAATGTTATCAAACTCCGAAGAATGTCGATGAAGTTAGACGGTTTGTAGCTTTCGCAAATTATTATCGTAAATTTATCCCGAATTTCGCTAATATAACTATACCATTGAACAAACTTTGTAGGAAAGGTGCTAGTTTTGTGTGGAGTACCGAATGCAAAAATTCATTTAATAAACTTAAGCAATCCCTTATCAATCCACCCATTTTACAATATCCGAATTTTGATGAAGAAAACGAATTTATATTGCGCACAGATGCTTCCGGATTAGCTATAGGCTCGGTATTATGTAATGATCGGTATTATGTAATGAAAATGATTTACCAATAGCATATGCGAGTCGTTCTTTAAATAAAGCCGAGGTAAACTATCCAACAATAGAAAAAGAGCTTTTATCTATTGTTTGGTCTGTGAAATATTTCCGACCTTATTTATTTGGCAAGAAATTTACAATCAAAACGGATCACAAGCCTTTAATCTATTTATTTAGTATTAATAATCCTTCCAGTAGACTGTTAAAATTTCGATTAACCTTAGATGAGTATGATTACGTAATAGAATATGTTAAAGGTGTGAGTAATGTGGCTGCAGACGCATTATCGCGCATTATTTTAACATCTGATGAGTTAAAAAACATGAATACGGAATATTTGAATGTAATGACACGGCGGATGGCGAACAAACTATACGATAAACCAAATGATACGAGTACTTTGGTTGACAAGAGTGTCGAAGACAATTGGTCTGATCAACCGAGAGTCGTTGAGATTCTTGAAAAGCCAAAACATTGCACTGAACTAATTATTTCATCTTATAAACTAGGGAAAAATGTGAAATACGTGCACTTTAACGATTTCGTATACGTACCTAACAAGGATAAGATTTTTATAGACCCATTTTCTCGATCATGTTCGACGCGAGACGTCTTCGTGAGAGATTTGGATGCTATTTGCAAAAAGCTAGCGATCGATGAAATTTATGTAATAAAAAATAATGAAAGTAAAAAGTATATAGAATGGTTAACCAAAAGTTATAAAACTAATAATAACCGGGAAAGTCCCCGTATTTATATTATAAAAAATGTAATAAGCATAGAAAACGATGACGACAAAAAAGTTATTCTTAATGATTTTCATTTACTTCCTACAAGTGGACACGCGGGCATACGTCGTATGCTCAATAATATTAAAAAATATTACTTTTGGCCAAAAATGGTAGAAGATATAACGGATAATGTAAAAAAGTGTAGCAAATGTCAAAAACAAAAACATTCGTTGCACACTAAACAACCAATGGTTATTACTACGACTGCGCAGTCTGCCTTTGATAAGGTTTTCTTAGATATAGTTGGGCCCTTAGATAAGGATTACTATAATTACTCATATATACTCACTCTTCAGTGTGAATTAAGTAAGTATATTGAAGCATTCCCATTAGTAAGTAAGGATAGTGTAAGTGTAGCGCGAGCCTTCGTAGATAACTTCATTCTAAGGTATGGTATACCACGGGAGATCGCCACCGATAAAGGAGCAGAATTTATCTCTAATACAATGTCTGAGGTATGTAAATTACTAAATATAAAACAAACTTTGTCATGCGCATATCATCATGAATCTATTGGTTCACTTGAGAACTCACATAAATGTCTTAATGCATATTTGAGAATCCAAACTGACAACAATTCTAGAGATTGGAGTTATTGGCTACCATATTGGTGTTTTTCGTACAATACTTCTGTACATTCAGCAACTAAGTTTACGCCGTACGAACTTGTTTTCGGTAAACCATGTAATATACCTTCTAATTTAAGAAATCATACAATTGAACCATTATATAACTTTGAAAATTATCCACTAGAATTAAAATTTAGACTTCAAAAAAAAATTTAATATCTAAAGAAAAAAGGAAAAATAGATATGATGAATATTTAAAACCTGTGATGTATAATAAAAATGATATGTTATTAGTAAAAAACGAAGTAGGAAATAAATTCAGTGATGTGTACTCTGGTCCTTATAAAGTTTTAAAGGATATGGAACCTAATGTTAAAATTTTACGTAATAATAAGGAAGAAATTATACATAAGAATAGGACGAAATTGTATGTAGAGTAAAAAAAAAAAACAAACAATGTATTTCTTTTTTTTTTTCGTTTTGATGGGGCGTGTGGTGTCATAATAGGGTGATGTCATTAACCTACTTTAAGTTAGTATTTAAGCTATTATATCTTGTTATATTAGAGACTTATTAAAGTGTATTCGAACCTAGTGGTTGTCTTATTACAATCCCGCTCCGAACCCTATAATCGGGTCATCATATTGGATACTTTTTACTGCGGGAAAATATCTCATCTCTGAGAAATCTATTCCAAACCTTAAAACGTAAGTAGGTTCGAAACCGAGCGGAGCGAGGGTGAGTCGCTAGTGATCTGTGTGTCTGTGTATCTGTGTCTGTCTGTGGCGTGGTTGCTCCTTAATGAAAGGACAGATTTTGATGCGGTTTTTTTATCGAAAACTGACGTGATCGAGATGGTTCTTAGGTATAATTTATGAAGGTCTGTTCAGGCGATTGATTATCATCAGCATCACTCATTTCCTACTTGACTAAAGGGTCCTAATAACTTTTACAGATCCGATTGATTTGATATGGCGTACTATTACTTTGGTGGTATTTCTAAGACATGCTATCTTTGAGCAGATGCTGTGGCATAAAATAGTCTGCGGGATGCTCAAATCTTTAGAAATTTACAGTAGGTATAGCGTGTTTGGCCTCACAAGAATAATCTCAATGAGAGTTACCTATTAGAATTAGTGTCTGTCAGTAATTTAAAAAGAATGAAATAACCCCCGAAACAAAAAAAATATATAAAAAATAAAAGAAATAAATGTCTTTCTTGACCTTTAAACTTTATTTAAAGCACTTATTAACATTTTTATGATGAGCGTTTGGGTCTGCTTAGTAAATAAAATATAAAAACCAGAATACAAGTAAAAAGAAGATTGATAATGATAAAGTATTAGCGATAATCAACTCCTTATTAAAATACAATACGTAGAGGTATCGCGTTTAGACTCAATGAAATGGCCTCAATGAATTGGTTATTGTGTTGGTTTTTTTTAATTAAGGCCACTTTATATTGTGGCATGGATATTGTCTTTATTTTATATATATTCAATATTTCTGACTTATGATTCGCAGAAGGGAATGGAAACACCTTGGAGTATATATATATATATATATATATATATATATATATATATTGTAGAAGATTACAACTGGTTCCCGACAATGCGTGGATTGCGACTGCAACGTACGTCTGTAAAATATTATATCATAAGATATGCCTATGCCAAATAGGGAAAGTGTCGAGATGCTACAATATAATATTATTTGGTGCAATATGGTTATTCTATAATGTATGTACATAGAAGGCACGTAATTTAATTTGTTGTCAAAGAATATATACTATTATATACTATATATAATAATTCAGAAAATTCAAAATATATGATTACATACCTTTAGTTACATATAAGAACACATGCGCAGGAGTGGGCGCGGGCGGCGGCGCGCGCGCTATCCTGCACGTGTAGCGTCCCGCGTCGTCGCTTCGGACGCGAGCCACTCGTAACACTGAATTCGCTCCATTCGAACCGAATTCTGTTCGGACGCTGAAATGATTTGAGATGATATATATTTTATATTATCTCTTTCTCACTCACACTTCATCTCTATTTTTATCCATGACGTCCACGGAGACGGCATAATATGCGTTTGGGGTGTCTGTTACCATTTTTCCCGGAAACGGCTAGGCCCATTTTGAGACGGTTTTTTGGTTTGTATAAGTCTCTTTCCCGAGCTTGTTCTTAGCTAAATTTTATAATGTTACAGACAGCAAGAAGGCGCTAGAGTAGGTATACACAACTATTACTCCAAAACGGTTAGGTTTAACTAAATTACATTTTAGTATTACATTTACTATTAAAATTTCAAATAAAAAGAAGTCCGAAATAAAACATAAATTAAAAATTTAAAAAGCCTACGTAGGCTGAATTGAAGGTGGAATGTCATGGGTTTTTAATTTTTTTTATTTGAAGTTTTTTATATGTGACAATTTTTTGTCGTAGGTTTTTTAAATTTTTTTTATTTATGTGTTATTTTTAACTCCTTTATGCATCCACCTCTACGATGGATTATTTACTCATAGTACAAAATAGTGAACGATATTATGTCTAAACAATTTGTAAAGTGTAAAATCCAAAATTAAAGCTCAGTTTTGTAAGCTGTTGCAGGCTTGCAGTTTGAACATCGGTTCATTTGTGAAATGGCTACGAATTGTACGAGTCGTAGAATTCGTAGACATTGCACAAATACATAATTGAGTGAGACTGAAAACATATTGTGTTGTACTGAGATTTGTATTTTAATATTTTTTCGTCAATTGAAAATATCCTTAGAAAATTGTTTAATCTAATATTTTCGTAGGAAACAATCACTAATACAAGATTTTCAAGGGCTCAACATTCGTCGGAGCCAGATGCGGTTATGCGATCACTGTACTTGATATATTATTTTAAAATTTAGAATAACATTAGGTAATGTTAAGTATAAATAAAAAAAAAACATTTTAGTATTTCTGTAAAAATCTAGTTCTGTCCCGTAATTTTGAGCGATTATCTCTTTAGTTACGTATTACGCCTTCCACTCTTACTTATATAATATACACCTAACTACATAATCAATATATACATAAAAATCGATGTGTGTATGTACATTTTTGTTCCATATAGACTCTAAAACAGCTGGAGTGATATTTATGAAATTTTCAGGCTATCTTAAGACTGGCCCAGCGAGTGACCCTGAGAAGTTTGGTAGAGATCGGAAGTTTGACCGTGGGTGACGTAGTACTGCTAGTATCATATGTCTTTGTTTATAAAATTCATCTCCTCTTAAACACCTTGACCGATATTGATAATTTTTTGTACATTTAGGGCACCTGGATGATTTTTATATATAGTTGAATCGGTAGGTGACACTGTTGTCAATTTTTTTTTAATTATCCAATTAAACTGTAGCAAGACAACGACTCCAATCCGCTATATATTTATGAAATGTAATTTAACTGCTCTAACTCACCTAATTCCACCTCTCGTAGTATCATCATTGAGAAGGTCGTCCCTCCTATACCATAGTAAAGAGGGACCTCCCTCCATCTTCAGACCACGGACTTCACACCTCAACGCCACTGTGCTGCCTAACTCGCACACCTGTTCCGATACTTCTGCTCCAGCTCCATCCACGATACGTACTGAGACCTCTGGTGGATAATATACGAAACCCATCAACCACAAAAGTACTAGATACACAACTAGCGACAGGAAATGTCCTCACCGACTGAGCGCTCATTTGAACATTTGAGCCTGCTTTTAATTTTTTTTTTTTGTGAAAGCAACTTTAAAACTTAAATTTAAGCTTCAATTTACATTGTTGTATATTTATTTCAACTAGAATAATTACCTAAACACAATTGGTGACAGTTTTAAGAGAACTTTTACATGATATTGTGTATCTAGCGCTGTTTTTATCGATGACGAATCCTATTAATAACATTATCGTACTAATGAAAATAAATGTGTATATTATTCACGCTATAACGGCTCAAAGGATTTGAGCGTTTAGATAGGAGATACCTTATATTTGATTTAAATATAGACTATGAAAGCGAAATGACGGGAAAAGATGGAAGTTTATGAAAATTGATTGAATTTTTGTTGTGCTAATTTGGATGAAACAAGGTACAAAACCATATATTCTCGAATTGATAAGATTTATAATCTAATCAGACTTATATTATACTGTCGACTCATCCTCGCTTCGTTTCGGGTTGGTCCCTAGACAAAAAAAAAGCTATCCCACGGGAACCGTACTATTTTCCGGGATGATATATAGTCTATAGCCTTTCTCAATAAGCAGGCTTTCTAATGCAAAAAGATTTTTTTCAAATCGGAATAGTAGTTCCTGAGATTAGTGCGTTCAAACAAAAAAGCACAAACGGACAAACTCAGGCAGAGTTTGTAATAATATTAGTATTATTAGTTTATCTATACTTTTATATACTAATAAAAAATTTAATAATTAAAAAGCTTATAATGGTACTACTTTGGTAAATTATGCGAAGCTTTAAAATCCCTAGCTTACAGCGTCATTTCTTTCTTCTCTAAGAACATTAAAACTGACAGAGCTTAACAAAGAAGTATTATAAAAGATAATAAAAATATTATGTTGTTAATTTTACAAAACCATTTGTCTAACTGACTAATTAATCAACTATCAAGCCATATCGCCCACTTTAAATCAAAAGAAAAGTTTTATTTCAAAACTGAGATGTACAATTTTTTAAACTTGTGTGATTGGTTGAAATGATTTTAAAATATCGGTGAAATTATGGAAATTATATGCATTCTTATAATTATTATGTCCTTAAGGATAACTATTACAGAAATGTCTAGCATAAACAGCTGCAGATCCGGAGATCCTGGATTCGAGTCCCGAGTTAAGCAAAGTATATTTTTTTAGATTTTCTGTCGAAAAAATCTCAGTATCAACTCAGCGTTGAGGAATTAACGTTACGCTTATACTTCGTATAAGCTAAGTTATTAGGTACGTTTTAAATTAAAATGGATATAGTATGTTATCTTTAAGAGATAGATAAATGCCATCGCGGACTTTTCTGTACACCTATATAAGGTACACAATTCCACCATACATTATTTTGTTATATCTCAAAGGGTTTAGGCAGCGTTTTCGTTGAAAGCTCCCAGACGTCTTATTTTTTCCGACACCTCCAACAAATATCGTCATATTTTAGCCAATGTATACAAAAACTTAAATTATATACTAAAACCTTCTTCTTGAATCACTCTATTTATTTTTAAAGTTCTTTTAAAGTTCTAGTTTTAAAGATTTAAGCATACATAGGGACAGGGAAAGCGACTTTGTTTTTACTATATAGTGAAGAGTACGTCATGCCGTTGGTACTGTATGATTGGTGATTGTATGCCTGGTCTTTCAACACATCGCCACCGAACCACGTTTAGTTTTACCATTGAGCAGGAAGTGAGTGGAAGAAATTATGAATTCACCTATTTTTTACATGTGCACTGTTATATCTCCTACACAGTTGGCTAGTCTCAGTGAGATTGACCGTTGTAGCCGAAATTGGCCCATGGGACATTATAATTACATTTAATATTATCCTACGCACTGCGGGATCATTTTCAAGGAGTATTTTTGTAGTCGATATTATGTCTTGCGATGTTACTCATCTCTGCTGTTCTACTTTTACAACAATATATTCAATTAATGAATACATATTATAAAATTCTGAGTCGAATCTATATATAAAATATTTTTTGGAAAATCTTATTTAAATAGTCATTATTATCGATACAGAAACCGAATGTATAGTTTTTTAGAATTTTTGTCTATTTGTCTGTCTGTCTGTGGCCGCATCACAAGCAAACCACAGGACAGATTTTGGTGACACTGAGTATGATGATAGCTGGTTATCCGGGTTAATGTATAGGATATTTTGTACTGCGGGAAAATGTCTCATTTCTGAGAAGTTTATTCTGAACTTTAAAACGTAATTAGGGACGAACCCGAGCGGAGCGAGTCGCTAATGAATAGTAATAATAATTATAATAATAATCATAACTAGAATAAATATTTTTATTTGGGTTTTGTACATTTTAATTCTAAATTTTGTTGCATTAATACATTTATGCATTATTTTCGCATATCATAGGGTATACCAATATTTACCCCCCCCCAACGTGCGTTCACCTTGTCGTGGTGGGGGGGCTCAGTAGTAGTAGCGAAGCTAAGAAACGCACAGGGAGGTTGCCCACTTCGGTGGGCGGTGGGAGGTGGCCCTCTTCGGGGGGCGGTGTACCTTGCGGGTTGCTCCTGGTACTTCTCTGATAGCAGAGTGGACCTTGGAGCAACCCCATGGTTGTGGTGGTCTGCTTTGGCAGACCTGCCGTCGGGGCGTCGTAGTTGAATGCGTAAGCGATCCTGCGACGCCCCATTAAGACGGGGGAAGGTTTTGTTGGGTTTTAGTGGGTAGTACTGGTTGTATTACACCGGTGAGTCCCACACATTGTACGTAAATGCATTTCTCAACGTTAAAAAAAAAAAAGAAAAGGGTATACCAATATTTGAAAACATTACGTTACGTTCTTGTTTTATTTTTTGTGTGTTGTACTGCGGCTAGAGGCAGCCTATCAATAAATATTCATTGGTTCATACAAAATGTAGGAAAGTGATGTAAATAGATTTTTTAGTGTACTACGGTGTTTTGATAAGTTTGCACTAATGTGCACTATCCTTAACTGAAGCGGGTGGGATAGTTTAAGTGGTTTCAAATTAGTTGGTTCAATATATAATTATAGAAATTATAGCAAAAGCCTTGTGACGACACGTTTGGCTCAGTTTGTAGTGACCCTACTTGCTGTGCCAGCGGTCGCAGGTTCGAGTCCCGCTGGGGGCATTCATTTGTGTGATGAACATGAATATTTGTACTCCAGTTATGGATATTTATAATATGTATGTATTTAAAGTTATATGTGTGTCTTGTATCAACTATCTGGTATCCATAATACAGGCTTAGTAGCTTACCATGGAACTAGATGGTGCTGTGTGTTAATATGTCCCAACATATTTATAATAAATATTATTTTTTTCCTGATTATATTAAGAAATTAAACCTTGTTATAATTAATATTATTATACCTTAAACTTTATGGGCAAAGTTTTAAATTGTAGGGCATTTATTGCCTAAACCTATTTTATGATAGTAATCCAGGTTACCTATTAAATAATTTCATTATTAATATTTTAGTGCTATTTTAGTGCTTTTGTGGATATTGCGTGATGATATTTAATATTTATCAAACGTGGTATCCATACTTAATATTATAAATGTGAAAGTGTGTTTGTTTGTTTGTCTTTCTTTCACGTCAAAACGGCTTGGCGGATTGGCGTGATTTTTGTGTGGAGATAGTTGGAGGGCTGAAGAGTGACATAGGCTACTTTTTACCGCGGGAGATTATCTCTTTCGTACAGGAAAACACGTTATAATAATATCCAAAAAATAATTTATGATCAGAATTACTTGAAACTTAGTATTAATGATCTTCAATACAATTAATTAAATACATATTTTAGCATTCTTCAGAATTCATCCCCTTTTGGGGTAAAATAGCGGATGAAAGTTTATATGAAACCTACCATTTTAGAGTTTTTTTGGTATTTTTGCGCGAGCGAAGCCGAGGGTTCTGCTAGTGCTAAATAAGTCTAAGTCTATTGTTCAGTGGCTCCTAAAAGTGGCGTTTGGGCACAATTTACTTCGCCAATGTCGCGTAGAATGGAGACGACACGTTATTTGTTCTTTAATATTGATAATTAATTTATATATATTTTTTTAGAATACTAGTGTGAATTACCCTCGCTGCGGTCTGTGCATCCTTACGTGTCAACCAAGTCTATGTGTGTACACACACACATCTGTTACAACAGTACAAGTACATACACATAAACTTTCGCAATCATATAATAGCTGTTACTTTGGTTTTATTCAATTCAACTGTCATTGCCTTCAACGTCCAAAGTCGCGAATTCGATTCCCAAAAATTAACAAGACTTACATGAGATTCGTCCCTAGGTAATTCTTGAAATTGACATATCTTTTTTATTTATGAACAGATTTGTATACAATAAATATTAAATGTTAAGTGAAGCTTACTACAACACATAAGTAAAAACGGCACCCAAATTAGCTAAGCCGTTTCTGAGATAAGCGCGTACAAATGCACAAACAGACAAAAAATCTAAAAATCATCGTTTTGGGTTCTATTGCGTTAATAAAGACCCCCAATAATAGTTTTTCTCATACTTTCCATGTACAGACATCAATCAGTTACATTTTTATTATATGTATAGATGTAAGTAGAAAATTAAATGAAAAATTACTACGTGAGAAAACGACTTATGCCTTCATCCATCTAGTAAAAGAAAATTAGATCAATAGAATGAGGTAATATCAGATCGAAATGATTCATATAAAATAAGTACTTAACGGTCTAATGAAAGTCCTTAGATACTTAACCTTGCTATATATATGTAAGTGTGTCTGTAGCCTTATAAAATGGACTTAAGGTAATCATAAAGTAGAGCTTAACTGCATTAATAAACTTGGATCGTAGTTTTACGAGAAATTGTGTACATGTTTTATTTAGTACAGGTAAAAAGTACTTATGTTATTTTTAAATATCTTTCGAATTAGTACCTACTTACACTATATTTTAATAAGAAATCTTATTAAAATACTAGCATTGCCTGCGGCTCCGCCCGCGTTCAGATGACCAAAAACCAAATTCTTAGGTTTTACATATTAGTATACTCTTACATTGCAGTTTTTTGTATTTTTTCTCAGAAATGAGATATTTTTCCGCGGTAAAAAGTATCCTATATGTTGACCCGGATAATCAGCTATCATCATACCAAATTTCATCAAAATCCCTCCAGTGGCTTTTCTGTGATGCGGTAACAGACAGACAGACAGACAGACAAAAAATCTAAAAACTATAGATTCGGCCTCTGTATCGATAACAATGTCTATTTCAATAAGATTTTCCAAAAAATATTTAATGTACAGATTTGAGTTAGTTACAATTTTATTTTTAGAATTTTTATAACTTTTGTCTCTCTGTCTGTCTGTCTGTGACCGCATCACGAAAAAACCATTGGACAGATTTTGATGGTATGATGATAGCTGGTTATCGGGGTCAACATATAGAATAATATTCAAGATGAAAACGTAACTAGGGACGAATCCGAGTAGAGCGAGGGTGAGTCGCTAGTATTATATATAAAAAAATCCAAACTCAAAACAACAAAGAACAAATCGTATTATCATATAAGTTATATGATTTCTAAGCAAAACAATTTTAAACAACAAAGTGGTATCTACGGTCGCTTAATAACGGATTCAAGTCGAAATATTTTATAACATTTCCAAATCTCTATGGACTAACATCGAAAGTTGTATAGAATTCTTTGCATACTTTGACTTTGGTAAAAAAGATCAGTATAAAATCGACATAAATGTAGGGTCAGACGTGGGTCGCGATACACACGTGTCCGGAATTGACCTGACTTACTGGGTGTTGCTATTTTGCAGAAGTTATCTATATTACCATGAACTGCTATCGTGTAGTAATATTTTACTACAATCGATATCGACATACATATTGTTTTATAAGAATAGCTTGATTCCCAATACAAACTTTCACTCTATTTTCATCCCTTTAAGAGATGATTTCCGGGATAAAAAGTATCCTATATCCTTCCCAGGGTCTCAAACTATCTTCTTACCAAATTTCATCTAAATCGGTTCAGTAGATCCAGAGATTACCCCTACAACGTCACAAACTCACAAACTCACAAACTTTACCTCTTTATAATATTATAGTATAGATTACATAATTTTTTTTTGACCTTTTTTTTGCACGTACTTTCGTTTCGTGTTTTATTTTGAATAAACTCATGAATTAAATAATTATTAATTATATGTCGTTGTATCATTAGAATGCAGTGTTGCTTATAATTAGGGCATCATTTAGTCTAGGTCTTTCTTTTGTTATATTATATTATTATGGACTATTATTAGAAAGTATACTCTGTTAGCGGCCTATGTAAAAAAAACGTGTGCGTGTGTACTTACGAGTATGTGCACACGTAAGAAGTTATACTTCTTTGACGTAACAGAACAAAAATAGCTAAAGATTTCATCCCGTAATCACAACTCTTTGTTTGTAAAAGGAATGATAAATTAATAAAAAAATTAAATAAGGCATATTAGGCATATTAAAATCATATATTTATAGAATATCATTTAAGGAAAAAATATACTATATATCATATTCCAGACAATAACAACGGTTACCATGGCAATAAACAGTTATCAGCTAACTTAATCATGTCGCTTTTTGGCTGTCGGTGTGGGCGCGCATCGTAAAAAATTTACTTTCACATTTTTTTCCAAACGTCCCGAAAGAAGTATAAATGAAATAATAAATAAATAAAAATAATAATAAAAATATTTTTTTTTTAAAGGAAACTATCTTTTCGGATTTTGTCGCGTCTTGTCTCACCCTTGATCATGTTTGCTGTAAAATATTAAAAACGGGAAAAAAATCAAAATAAAGAACTACTACAAATATTTTTTTCTAATATTATTTAAGATTTAATTAATGTTAATAATATTTTTGCTCGATATAATTTGGTGGAAATCATTTTAAGATGAGAACATTATGACATTTATTTGAAAAAAAAAAACCTTAAATAAGCTTTAATTCTACGTGATTTTCTTGTATACAAGGATTCAGATCTGTAAATAAACTTCGATACACTCTCGTTTAAATAAACACAAAGTATATTTTCAAATAATATACTTAGCTGTCGTGTATTTTATTTATGCAAGTTGTTTGTTCAAGCTTTTCACTACTCTATTGTTTATATGAACACTTTTCTTTAATATATCAAAATTATATAAATTAATATGATATGATTTTATAACTAGCAACTCACCCTTGCTCCGCTCGGGTCCGTCCCTAGTTACGCTTCATTTAGTATAGATTTTTCAGAGAAAAGTATCCTATATGTTGACCCAGATAACCAGCTATCATCATAACAAATTTCATCAAAATCTGTCCAGTGGTTTTCTCGTGATGCGTTCCCAGACAGACAGACAAACCAAAAATGATAAAAACTATAGATTCGGGCTCTGTATAATAATGACTATTTCAATAAGATTTTCAAAAAATATTTAATGTACAGATTCGACTCGGAATTTATTATGTGTAAATATAAGGTATTATATTTATGCTTCTTAAATTTATTTACTATACTTATAAAATTACGTATTCGCTAACGACTAACGTCATCAAGTTTCCCAGAAAACAATTCATAGTAGGGACTGATTCAAATTCTGTACACACTGTACTTTTTCGATCAGTTTCGTAGTGTATAGGATTCCAAAACATGAATAGATAAAGTGGATAATGTTAAATCAGAACACGTTTTAACTTTTCTCTTTAGATTGTTTATAGAGAAAGCTGTTTGTTTTGAAAGATTTCAACAAGTATCATGAATATTATTATTAGAGTATAAGTTTTCTTTCTTCTTACAAAATACATTTACAGTAAAAACAAATTTCACAATGTTTGAGTTATTGAAATATTTTTTTTGTTTTTTTCCCTTATATTTACTTTATATACCTACTTTTTAATACCTATATATAGAATTATCTAATTGATCAAGGGGTGTAGATAGTTAACAACGCTCAAAGACAATGCGATGCCGATTTTGATATAAAGTTTATCATTATTTTTAATATTTGCGCAGATTCGAGTCCTTATTTTAATGTTGATGAAAAACTGAAAGGAATCTTGAATTTGAAAAAATTAAAAGAACTGAATTAGATAAATTTAATAATTTTGTATTACGACTCATTTAAGTTATGAAAATTTTAAATGAGAAGATTTTACATAATTATTATAAACTTTAATTATCATAAATATTTATAAAATTGGTCATTTACAAGAATTTTAGAAAGTTCATATTTGAATTTATGTTAAAAAAATAAAACAGTCTAAGAATCGAAATAATCATAAAATATGAAATAATTAAAGTTCAAACAACAGATAAAATATAACTAGAACAAAATAACCTGAAAATTGCATATTTAAAACTCGATTTTACAAACTTAGCCATTGCTGGGCTCGTGAAAATTGGGCTCAAGAAAAAATTCTAAATGTACCTATTAATGTAGAGGTAATTTTCAACCCCGTATCACTGAGGCCCCAGTTTGAATGGGGACTAGTTTTCTCATTTGGACCCAGTTATGCAAAAAACAGCCATGTGCGTAAAAGTACCAACAGACTTATAAGCATTTTATTATAAAAAATAAAATAATTGTAAAAAATAAACAATACTTTATAAAAACTCTGTTGGAACTTTTGCACACATGGCTGTTTTTTGTATAATTGGGTCCATTTTTAAAAGGTTAGTCTGACATGCGCGCGTGTTACTTGTACGTATATACTAACCTAAAAGAATTTATTATCTAGGTAATTTATAAACCTTACTTGAAAGCTTGAGTAAGTTCGTAACTTCACTTAAGTCTATATTATCTGTTATTCCTAACTTTAAATATTTAAAATCAAGTAGAATTTCAACAATATTCTGAATTAGTATTCAAATCCCATAAATAAATAAATATGAATGAATAAATTTGATGGGACATTAACACACAGCACCATCTAGTTCCATGCTAATGGTCTTGTGTTATGGATACCAGATATTTGGCACAGCATTCGTGCTCATCACACAAATGGATGCCCCCAGCGGGACTCGAACCCGCGACCGCTGGCACAGCAAGTAGGGTCACTACAAACTGAGCCAAACGTGTCATCATTGGAAAATTGTAGCAGAAAAACCAATGAAGGGAATAAAATGAAGCTTATCAAAAGTAAGTTTCACTTACCAGGTACTCTCAAAGTGACTCGAGCTGTTCTGGGTGGATGGGCGGATAGTTGGCAGTCATAGAATGCAGCATCAGACGGTCTGACTTCTTTTACTTCCAGTCTCCATATATCAGGTGGGATAAAACGAGCTGAATACCTGAATGGAATATTTTTCTGTTAAGTATTTCACGTAGGTGGTCAAATGTTATTCTGTTTGTCTGTACATACAATAAGTTAAAGGAGTTCGAATATTGTTTATTAAAGCTGACTTTACCCCTCAGCCACCTTTTTCTAAAAAGCGGGTCACGATGTGTGTGTGGGTAGAGTTAGTTAATTTGGAATATGAGACATTTAAGACATGGACATATTGTCAATATTTTTATTATTTTAAGTATCTTCTACCCATAAAAAGTTTAGAAATAGATCTAAATTAGTAGGTATTGTTGTATTCCATTATACCAACAATGCGATCATATTTAGTCGTTTAAAAGTTTTACAGAATTAGGTTATATTTGGCAAATATTGTTTTAAACCTTTTCGGTTGTATATCGATTTAATAATTAACCAAGCTTAGTTGTAGAAAGTCATTTTTCCCTTTTAAAATGCATTTTGATCATGAAAGTATCTAATAGCAAAACAAAAATACTACAAAATTTAGAGGTAAACTTGATTTTTTTATAGAGAATTGAAAACACTTAGAAAATCTTTGTATATAAAATTGACACCGGGATTTTCATCCTGAACCTCATTTGTGTACTAATGGGGTCATCTGGACAGTTCTAGCTATAGTTGAACCCGATAGATAGGCGCTGCTATCAAGGTTAACATTTTTTTGCCGCCAAAACTATGTTTATGGCAGGACACTATCTGCCTACGGCTCCGCTAGTATGTAATAAAAACAAAACCCTAACACTATATAAATAAAATGAAAACTTTGTTACTTAAATCAAATAAATGGTTTCCATTTTAATTGATTTTTTTATCGTTATACTAGCGGCTCACCCTTGCTTCACTCGGGTTTGCCTCTAGAAAAAAAAAACAAATCTATTTACATAATCTATTTTTCCGGGATAAAAAGTAGCCTAAGTGCTATTCCAGACTATAATCTATCTCTGTGCCAAATTTCATCCAGATCCGTTCAGCCATTCTGGCGTGATTAAGTAACAAACATACATCCATAGCTACGTTCTTAAAAACTCTAAACTCTCTATTAAGTAAATTGAATAACAAAAAATTGTTTTGGCTCGGTTATATTTTTAGTTACATTAGCGTTATCCTAAATCCGTCACGTTTTACTTCTCCACTTTTCCAAACCATTAAAATTATAATATTCCAACCAGAATAGAATTATAAGCTTCATTTTCCTAATATTTTCTCATACTAATAGTAATGTAGAATCTGTACATTAAATATTTTTTGGAAAATCTTATTTAAATAGTCATTATTATCGATACAGAGGCTCAATCTATAGTTTTTAGAATTTTTATATCTATCTGGGAACGCACCACGAGAAAACCACTGGACAGATTTTGATGACATTCGATATAATGAGCTGGTTTTCCGGATCAACCAACCTACACGATACTTTTTACTGTGGGAAAATATCTCATCTCTGAGAAATCTATACTAACCGTTAACACGTACCTAGAGATGAACCCGAGCGGAGCTAGGGTGAGGTGCTAGTATAGTAATCAAAAATGAAATTTCATGCAATAACATGACGTATACATCCCACGTACCGTACGTTCCCAAAGCGAGAGCCCTATATTTCAATTCAATGTACGTCGTCTATTAGCTAGGGCAGGTTTACACGACAGGTTTATGTGAACAAATGACTCATACATCGCCACCTGTCGCCGGCCGTGTACTGCACCGTATCGATTTATGTATTGCTAAGTAAAATAGTGTGAATAAAATATAAGTCTGTAAGTCAGTAAATTTTTTGGGTGCATTAAATGTTCTAGATGTTATGTTTAAAATGATGTTCTCCTGGCCGATTCCGGCTACGGCGGCCAATCTCATTGAGACTAGCCAACTGCGCAGGAGATATTATAGTGCACAAGTAAAATACGCGCAGACAAAAGAAGTGCGCGCAGACACAAGTGCACTCTCTATTCCTGTCACTTTCATATTCCGGTGGGACGACCACTCGACACGACTGGTGAGAGTTAAGGCGCAGGACCGACGGCTTAACGTGCTCTCCGAGGCACGGGGGTGAGACACCGCCAACTTCCCAATTCCGGGCTGTTACTGAGACTACTATACAAACAGACTCAATAACTAAACTTGGCCCGACCTGGGACTCGAACCCAGGACCTCCGGGTGTGCAGCCGTACATGCTAGCCACTGCACCACCGAGGCAGTTAACTTAGTTAAGTTAGTTGTTTAAAATAAATGTTTATTAAATGTATTGGTCTCGCACTACCTTAACATTTTTGTCGTAGCGATATGGGGGTATAAAAGAAAATTGATGTCGTTTATTATTTATAAATATAAAAATGCTCAAGTATAATTTCTTGAAGGAAACATGTACTTCACCTTAATATGAGATAATGCTGCTACTAATTACTCATAGACTGTTAATGTTAAATAAATGAATTTTCTTTAATAGTTTGGTTTGAACTAGCAAAAAAATTATTTGTATTTTAGATATTACTTGCGACTCACCCTCGCTTCACTCGGGTTCGTCCCTATCTTTCTACCCAATACAAACTTTCGTCGCCATTTTCACCCTCTTAAACGATGGTTTCCGGGATAAAATCTTATGTCTTTCCAAGGGTCTCAAACTATATTCTTATTAAATTTCATTTAAATCGGTTCAGTAGATCCACATATTACCCCCTAAAACATTACAAACTCGCTAACTTTACCTCTTTATAATATTAGTATAGATATGTAGATACTAGATAACACCATCTTTTGGCAAATCTTATTACTAACAGTAACCTATTTGTTACTGCAAGTCATAGTCATACTATACATAGTGTGTACTAAATTTCATCCAAATTTGTTTAGCCATTTTAGCGTTAAGGGCTATCAATGACAAACAAACTTACACTTTTATAATAGATGTATTTTTATATTATCTATTTTAAGACGTACGTTAGAAATACTCAAGGGAGTTTGAGTAATACAAGAGCTAATAGCTTCATTTTGCATAAATTATGATATAATATCATAGTTTCACTTCTTGTGTTACTATTAGTAAATCTTTAGGATAAATTTTTCTATTTAAATACTGTTTCTTGTCCTCCTGTGACATAAAATAATCCCGTTAACATTATGAATGAGAAAGTTTGGATGGATGTTTGTTACTCAATCACGCCAGAACGGCTGAACGAATCCGAATGTTTGGCACATGAAATGAAATGAAATAAACTTTATTCAATTAGACTTATTACAAGTGCTTTACAGAGATAGATTATAGTCTGGAATAGCACATAGGTTATTACCTCGAAAAATGTACGGTTCCCGTGGGATAGATATGTTTTTTTTTGTTTAAACAAAATCCGGTTACATCGAACTAAAAACTAATAATTTTCATGTCATCTATATATTTGATATGTTTTATTTTGAACCACAATTAGCACATTAAAATTTGAGCAATAGTTAAGCTCTTTAAATTTCATTTAAGGATTTTAACCCAAAATTTCATAGGTGTAAGACCCAGGGCTTGTACCCGCTACATTTGGTTTTCCAATCACGTGCATTACCACTGGGCCACTACCTAACTGTGTGTAACTAAGTATGATCATAATACTGTCGCGATATACGCGAATATTTGACATTTTAAATAAAACCAACAAACCAACGATCAACCCCACAGTCCTTTGGGAAATAAACCACTTGGAGAAACCCTGATATAACATAGTTCACAGCTAATGAAAAGTGGCGGAAAATAATAACACTAATAACAATAAAGATTAAATCAAAACAGTCGTAAAACGCATTATTTGTAATCAATGGGGTGGTTGAATGTTAAAATTTATCATGCATATATTAGTGAGGGTAATTTAGTACGATTTATATGTACAAACGACTTTATTGATAAATATGACCGTTTAAAATAAATATAGGGCTGTTTTATCTAAATATATGTTTATAACATAAATGTATGTATATATTGTATATAATAATTCAGCCCTTTTTTAACACCCCACTGCTAGACATGGGCCTTCCTTCAATACGAGGGGGTTCAGGCCATAGTCCACCACGCTGGCCTAGTGCGGGTTGGTGGATTTCACATGTCTTCCGAACATCTTCTTTCTCTCAGACATGCAAGTTTTCTCACGTTGTTGTCGTTCACCGTAAGACAAGTGCACTGAAATCATGTTGAAAAATGATTCGCACAAGAGAATATCAAAAGTGCGAGTCCCGAGATTGGAACACGCTTTACTTGAATTCCCAAGTGAGCGCATCACAACTTGGTTACCACAGCCTTTTGACTTTGATTGCTCTATAAATGTATCAAAATATTTGGGGTCAGCGACTTGGTATCATTATACTCAGGTTTCTATGGGATTAAAAATCCAGTTAAACCCCATGTGTTTTTTTTTCTATTATTTTCATAGTTCAATTTAATTTCCATGGAAATCCATGTATATAGATTTTGAGGTATTTAGAGGAAACAAACCAATTCGTAGGTATTTATATTTCATGGTAGACAGCTGGTGACATAACAATATCACCATTTTCATGCTTCGGATGGCTTATAAAGCCTTCGGTACTTAGCCTCGATTGATCGACATCGTTCTGCCACGTCAGTCGTCAGAGAACTTAGGGTGGCCTAACAAATACCTAGAAAGGATAAAGTGGCTTGAAGTAAAATACTACGATTTTGGCTCTATTCTCGTCTCGTTATTTTCCGTTACTGTGTTTTATCATATTATACGAAATAAGGTCCTTCATCCGTCTTCATGTTTAAGAAATCGTGCAAGAGTTTGTAATTAATTTTGAACTTAAAAATATATTATTGACCAAAGCATATTTCCGTCATTTTCCGTCGCGTAATACTTTGTAGGTGCAAATGTGTAGGAATACTATTAATTAATACTCACGTAAGATAAAAACATAATTACTTATTGATATATTGTAAATTATTATTATATTTAAAAAGAGTCACTGCTTAGTTTCTTGCCGCCATTTCTTAGCACTGCCTTCCGAGCTGATGCCAGACTCCTCACGGACTTACATACAGACATTTAAGTTAAGTTTAAAATGTAAAATTGACGACAAAAGTGCATGTAAAAGTCTATTTGAATAAAGGTTTTTTTGATTTGATTTAGATTGAGTATATTAAAATGTAATATGTAAAAAAACTGATGGCCATCTGCTACATTTTACTACTAAATGGGAAAATAAGTGTTCCAAAATAAACTACCAGTATTACTAACTATTCCTATTGCTTCAAATTAAAATGATATTAACGAAAGGCAAAAATAAAAAAGGATCTTACTGAAAATATATTGAAACATTAGTGTCCCATCTTCAATTAGCTTAGGCCATTTTTAATTTTTTTGGACTTTTACATGTGGACGTGCTTTTTACATATATAAATTATGCATACTAATATTATAAATGTGAAAGTGTGTTTGTTTGTTTGTCCGTCCGTTTTTCACGTCGAAACGGAGTGACGGATTGGCGTGACTTTTTGTGTGGAGATAATTGGAGGGCTGGAGAGTAACAAAGGCTACTTTTTACGGAAGATTATCTAATGCCCACAGGAAAACACGTTATAATACAATCCAAACAAATATTTATGATCAGAATTACTTGATACTTGGTATTAATGTTCTTCAATAAAATTAAATAAACACGTGTTTTAGCATTTTTTGAAATTCATCCTATAAGGGGGTAAAATAGGGGATGAAAGTTTGTATGAAACCTTTGTAGTTTTAGCGCGAGCGAAGTCGCAGGTTCTGCTAGTATTATAATAATTCATAAATTATTTCATACATACCTGTCATCCGCTGTATACTGCTGAGTGCCGGTAGTTAGCAGCTCCATTGGTAGCTCGTCGTTTTTTCGCCGTACCCATGATACCTGGTGTGGAAAATTATTTTTTTAAAAGTTGTTCATTTATATCAGAATAAGGAATCAAACCCACACTATCCTATTTATTAAGTAGATGAATAATCAAAAATATATTCTTATTATTTTTTGGACGTAAAAATGGATTTCTATATCCTAAATGTCTTCCTGAACAGTTTTGGCCATGGCGACCTTATAGTGCACAAGTGTACGTGCAGACACAACGTACTCTCTCTATTCCTGTCTACCGGTTAATTCAACGCTACCGCTGAGAGATCAGACGTAGGACGGACCATGGGGGTGGAACAGTTCCAAATCACCAACTCTGGGACGTTACTGGGACTTACTTAACAAAAATACTTAATAAATAAATACTTAGACTAACCCGGGACTCGAACCCAGGATCTCCAAATCTGAAGTCATACATATTAACCAATAGACCACTGAGGCAGTCGATAAATTATTTAGTTCTCTGAATAGTTTATTAAATAATTTGCTAATAAAATCCAAAGTAATTGACGGTTTTGATATTATGTATTGAAATACAGAATAAATTATTATAAATCATTTAGGATTTAAGGATTTATTTATTGTAATATCAAATTGACAAAGTGAATATATATATATATATATTAGACTGATTCAAAAAAACCGACTATTTTTTTATTTTTTTTTAATATTGAAAATATTGTCAGAAATGACGTATGAATATATTTACTTTTTCAAAAGTTATTCAAATCATCATATCAATGAGGTTAAAATATTGAATAGAAAAAACATTTGTTTAAAAGCTCCTCAAATACTAAAAGCTAAGCTAAAAATACTTTTGTAGTAATTATTTATTTAAAAAATTTAACTCGAGTAAGAATGAAGGAAAATATCATAAAATTCTGTACATGTAGGTACCCATATTTCTAAAAAAATCATTTTTATCGTCTGTATTAGTTTAGAAAATATTGTGTATTGCACGATAAAGTATATTTCCCTGGAGATCTGCCATGAATCGAGCTGTGAATAGTTGTGATAGCTGTGCTCTTTTATTTTCAATAGTAGCGAAGGACATTAATATAATTAACTACCCAGACAGTGCATAAAAAGTTGAGTATAAAAAGAAATTGTATTGAGCCCTTTTTAACGTCCTACAGCTGGGCACAGGTCTCCCTTCAATACCAGGGGGATCAGGCCATAGTCCACCACGCTGGCCAAGTGCGGGTTGGCAGATTTCATAAGTCTTTCGAAAACTTGCTAGGTTCTCTCAGACATGCAGGTTTTCCTCACGATGTTTTCCTTCACCGTAAGGAAAGTAATCATGCTAGAAATGATTCGCACGTGAAAATATCAGAGGTATACCCCCGGGATTTGAACCCGCTTCGCTAGGTTTCTCAAGCGAGCGCGTTACCACTGGGCTACCACTGCCTTTAAAAGGAATATCGATTTAAAAATATCCCTTATTTTTTCATCAAAAATATGAAAGTAAAAAAATCTTTTAATTTTCTTCTATACAAAGCTTGTCCAAAGAAACACAAAAAAATTAACCAATTTGGTGCAGTCGATCGGAAATTATGCGCGTACATACATACATTCGGTGATACATTTTTATTTATATAGATTAAGTCCGGTTCGTTTATACCATTCTGAATATATTATAGCTAAAATTTACTCAGAACCAAATGTTATTATTGCTCCTATAGCGAACTGATCTCACTTGTCTTCTATAAATAATTTTTCACGTAGAATTTCATACTGTATTTTGTTTACACTAAAATTATAAAATCCATACAATTGAAAAATCGAGGGCAAATATAAAAAAAAATATAATATTTCAGTTTATACGAATCACGTTCTGTTCTGAAACCTTTCGAGCTATGAATTTAAATTCAAACCGCTTATTGTAATGTTTTCAATCTAGATAAAAACTTTTAATATTCACCGCACGCGCCAGCCATTTTGAAAAAATACTGAGATTACTAAGCGTAAAGTCTTTATTTTCCAGTTTAAATATCAATTATACAATACGTATAAGCTGTTAATTACCCTGTTTTACTTTAAGTGGAGTATGAATAGTAAATTATTTTAGTTTTAGAAATATTAATACTGTATTTAACTTTTCAAATCAAATTACGACACGTTTGACTCAGTTTGTAGTGACCCTACTTATTGAACCAGCGGTCGCGGGTTCGAATCCCGCTGGGGGCATTCATTTGTGTGACGAGCACGAATGTTTGTACTTCAGTCATGAGTGTTTATATTTATAATATGTATGTAGGTATTTATAGTTATATATATTATATAGTGTATCAACTATCTGGTATCCATAACACAAGCCTCGTAGCTTACCATGGAACTAGATGGTGCTGTGTATGAATGTCCCAACATATTTATTTAATATTATAAATCAAATCAAAATATACTTTATTCAAATAGACTTTTACAAGCACTTATGAATCGTCAATTTTACATTTTAAATTTAAATTAAATATCAGTTTAGTCAGTCCGTGAGGAATCTACCATCGGTTCGGAAGACAGTTCTGCTGAAAAAAGACGGCGAGAAACTCAACAGTTGCTCTTTTAAAATAATATAATAATAATAATAAACTCTTTATTGTACACCAAGAATAGAACAAAAATAAATAAACACAGAGTAGAAATTTACAAGAGGCGGCCTTATCGCTAAAACAGCGATCTCTTCCAGGCAACCTTTAGGTGTAGGAGATAGCAAACTGCAAGAGGGAAGGGGTGTAAATAATAAAGTGTATGTAAAGTCAAAAACTAAGAAAGTATTCTTTTAGCAGTTTTTTAAATAACTTTAGTGACTTCGCACGTCTGATATTAAGGGGAAGAAAGTTCCAAAGACGTGGGGCTGTTACTACTACAGTGAATGAATTGCTATAGAAGGAAGAGGAGTTAGAAGGGATTTTAAGGATAGGGTTAATATCAGAGTGAAGACAGCGACAATGTGAATTACCAAGAAATTGGAAACGCTCCTTTAGATAGGGTGGGGTACAGGGATCGAACAGAATACAGTACAGAAGATGAAGAATGTGAGTATTCCTGCGAAGGCGGATAGGGAGCCACTTGAGCATATAATATTTGTTTACAATATTGTAATACAAAATTATCTACTTATCCTACGTCGGACCCAACCACACATTGACATCTACCAAATATTTAGTGATGGTATAATAAGCTTCATTTAATTATATAGATACGTTTACGTAGATTAAAGTATGGTAATATGGTTAGTTATTTACATACATATAGTCAGCCAGCCCACACTTGGCCAGCGTGGTGGACTATGGCCTGATCCCCCTCGTATTGAAGGGAGGCCCACCCTCAGCAGTGGGACGTTAAAGAGGGCTGAATACATATATACATATACGATTGAACCGAACCCTTCGTGTGCGAATAGTACTTGGCCGATTTTTTTAATTTTTATACTATATGCCACATATTTATAGATAAACATTAAAATTAATATATTAATTAATAAAAGGATAAAAAATTAATCAAGCATTCTCTTGATAAGATATTACAAATTGAACTAATTTGATAATGTAATTTGTGATGAACAATAATCTAATTAATATGCAAGGTAATCGGCCGCCACAAATTGTTAGCGATATCCAATTAGCATTTATGGCAGTGCAGGGTGATAGATGTTCCTGTTAATTAAAGCAAGTCATACCAAATGTTAAGCACTTGTCATGTCAACATATAGACCTTGTCGGTTTAGTGGTAGGCTTATATGGTTGGTAAATTCATACTGCAAGGTTGCAGTTTGAGTCCGAGTACGGGTTACGTGTTAGTGTATACTGTTTAATGTGCACAAAGTTTCAAAATAATAATTAATATTCATTATATCACACTTAGAGATATATTTTTTTAATTTTATGGTGTCTTCTGAGGTATAAACCTATTTATTAAAAAATATATGAAATTCTATTCACTACCGTTGAATTCGGTTAAATATATAATACTCAATAGAAAATAAAAAAGTCCAAAGAAGTTAATTGACAAATATACGAGTATTTAATATGTTTTATATGTATAAAGTAATATTATGTATAATGCAGAATATAATACTATAATACATACTAATAATTTTTATTTCTCTCAAAAATAAACGGATTCTGATTGGTCTATACGTACATAATATATATATTAATGCACACATTGCCTCGGTGGTGTAGTGGCTAGCATGTACTGATGCACAACCGGAAGCCCTAGGTTCGAGTCCCGGTCCTAAGTTTAGTATTGAGTCTCTGTTATCCCTCAGTAACAGCCCGGAGTTGGGAAGTTTGCGGTGTTTCACTCCCGTGCCTCGGAGAGCACGTAAAGCCGTCGGTCCTGCGCCTTAACTCTCACTGATCGTGTCGAGTAGTCATCCCACCGGAGTATGAGAGTGACAGGAATAGAGAGTGCACTTGTGTCTGCGCTCACACTTGTGTACTACAATATCTCCCTAGCTTTGCTCAATAAACGGGTTATTTAATGCAAAAAAAAAACAAATCAGATAATAGTTCCTAAGATTAGCGCGTTCAAACAAACAAATAAACATACAAACAAACAAACGCTGCCTCTTTATAATCTTATAGTACCTATAGATATGTGAAAATTAGAAAATTCTGCCTAACATTTTACTATATGCCGATTTTTATTATAACTTTAATTAAAATTTTCACAAATGAATGTGTTGCATCAAATGCAGTTTTAATCTTGCCCCATTATAATTAATTAAATTTAAATTAATATTGTAGCATATATATAATATTATATACATCAGCAATCATACTTATTATTGTTTATTTTATTTTTTGATTAACTTATTGGTCGATTCGAGTATAGGTATATGTGTTTTTTTTATATACATATATATATACATATATATATATATATACATATATATATATATATACATATATATATACATATATATATATATATATGTTTTTTTATGTTTTCTCTAATGAATATGTTACTCCTTAAGAGTAGTGGAACTACTCGTACCATATAAATTATAATAAAAATCCAGTCTTATTTTATTTATTTAATATTTATTGCACACAATATAAATATAAAAAGGTACAAGTATTGTTTCTATTTTACATAAAGCGTGCAAAGGCGGTCTTTTTGCTAAAAGCAATCTCTGCCAGACAACCTTTGGTGAAAAGATTTAAGATACGAAATATTTTCTTAGTATTAAATTCAAAATATTTTATTGAAATAACATCATAAAGCAAAATATTTATTACACAAAAATATGATTTTTTATGAAAAATTTAAAAATAAAGTCCCATTATAACTATCTACCGTTCGTTGGCGGTACCGCTTCGTAAGGTAGACTGTGTGAAGGACGAGCAAGCTTTATACGGGATTTACCCGCTCTGTGACAGCGGTTATACGGATCGAATAGCATTTATCTGCACTATTACGACTTATTTGTAGTTTAAATACGTTGTTAGTCTAGTGGCTAGCACTTTTATTTACAGAAGGAGGGGTCCTGGGTTCGAGTACCGGGTCAGTTCGAAATACATTTTTAGTTTTTTTTGGTTACGAAACTTAGTAGCAGCTCGGAATTGAAAAGTAGATAGTTTAAGTAACCTCATGCCTCGACGAGAGTATTAAAGTTGTCGGGCCTGTGTCTTATTATCACCGGTTGAGTCTCTAGGTAACAGTCTATCTGTATATTAAATTTTATCCAAACCGGTCCAGCCGTTTCCGCGTTAAGAAGTTACAGGCGTACAGATATAATGTTTTTTATATATATATATATAGTTCCATGTTACTATCTAATTATATAATTTACTAGCGACTCACCCTCGCTTTGCTTGGATTCGTCTCTAAGTTACTTCCCCGTACAAACTTTTATCCCAATTTTCAACCCTTTAAGGCATAAAATATGGGATAAGAACTATACTATGTCGTTCACAGGGTCTCAAACTATCTTCTTAACAAATTTCATCTAAATCGATTCAGTAATTTCGGAGCCTACAAACAAACAAAAAAATCTCTCCTCTTTATAATATTACGACAATTACAAAAATCGTCTGGTAATAATATTGTATGAAATATGAAAAGCTATTACAATGTGTTTATTTGCCTCGTATTCAAATTGATGTGCTCAGATTTTACTTAATAGAGTGTTTATGTATAATTAGTATGTAGCAATCATGTACAATGTATACAAAACATAGAACAGGAGCTCGGGAACTATAACCGATATAACATTAGAGGCAATTAAATATTTAGATAATTAACATTCACCACAATCACACTAGTTCAATTGATCCCATTTGTATGTATATGTTCTGTGATTACTAATATTTCAGTTTATTATACAGACCTAAAAATAGTGGCAAACTTTCTTAGTTTTACCCGATTATTTGACATTTTAAGCAAAACTATTTTTTCGGATTCTTTCGCGGATTCCGCGAAAGAATCCGAAAAGATAGTTTTATTTAGAACTAAAAATCAAAATAAATCCGCGAAAGAATACGAAAAGACAGTTTTAGTTAAAATAATGGCAAGTCTAAATGTAAATGATACTAGCGACTTACCCTTTCTTCGCTCGCTCGTGTCCCTAGATGCCTTTTGTGTTTATAGTATATAACGGTTAATATACCTATATTTCTCCGAGATTAAATATTTTCCCGCAAAAAAAAGTATCCTTAATGTTGATCCGGACAACCAGCTATCACCATACCAAATTTCATCAAAATCCGTCCAGGGGTTTCCTCGCGATGCTTCCCAGACAGACAGACAGAGAGACAGACAAAATCTAAAAACCATAGATTCGGCCTCTGTATCTATAATAATGACTATTTCAATAAGATTTTCCAAAAAATATTTAAAGTACAGATTCGACTCAGTTATAATTTTATTATATTTATAGACTAGTGATTTACTCTCGCTACACTCAGATGCTTGCCTACGTCATAGTAGCCTTACACGGTAAGTTATAATAGAGGAGCAAGTGGACTCGATTCCCTGTGATATGGGATTGCGAGTATAATAAGTAAATAGGATCTTAGATAGAATTAAGCATGCCTTAACGTAATGAACAATAAATTTAGAATATTAAATGAAAAAATTAAACAAAATAGTTCTAGAAGAAACAAACTTTAAAAAAACAGAAAAAAAAACAAATTAAAACAAAACAAAAATAATTAAAAACAAAGTAAAATAACGAAATGTAACATACTTATTACCAGTTTATCGTGAAGCGCGTCGACTTTACAGTCCATTTGCGCGGTGGAACCCACCAACGCTTCTATCTCCGGCGCTGCCGCTACATAGATACTATTGCCGTTGCCGGGCCTGGAACAAAATAACTATTTTATCTGTACGCTTAGACAAGATGATTTATTCTACAATCTATATCGCTAATAGAAAATAAAAAATAATATATGGAAACTTATCTAAGTCATTTAATATGTAAATATCTCCTGTCAAGATGTTTGTGGTCGCGCTCCTCTGAAACAGCTCGACCGATTTTAATGATTTTTTTTTATATTTGGTAGATATGAGATTATGTCGTATAGTATTTTTCACCCCCCTTACGCCATACGCTACATTTAAAGAAGATACTCGTATATGAAAGCTCTTTTAAAGTCTTTTGACTTATGTTAGTAAATAATATACGTATCGTTTGCGTAGTGGTAGCGTTTCTAAATGAAATTATGCGTAGGTAGGCACAGATTCAACACTCGCACGGGGCAAATCTGGAATTTGCTGTATTGACATTTGTATGTCAGTACAAAACTGAATGAAAAAATCATAATAGCTTTCTTTTAACCGTAAAGGAAGTAGTTTAACTAGCAAATTGAGTTTTACTTTAAATTTCTCGTACCCGAAATAAGTATAAAATATTCCATCCCTAATTTAATTTACAGAAAGTACTCGTGGTTGTACTTTTTGGAGATGAAATTGCTTAAAAATGAACAAAATTTTAAATAAAGTGCATTCTTGCATTTTGCTTACATGCAAATGGGCTTGTTTTAGTTTTAACCGACTTCCAAAAAGGAGGAGGTTCTCAATTCGTCGGAATCTTTTTTTTTTGTATGCTCACCGATTATTCGAAGACGCCTAAACCGATTTGGAAATATATTTTGTTTGTTTCGAAGGGTATACTTCCCAGGTGGACCCATTTAAAGTTTAGCTGATTTACCAATTTGGTCGAGTGGTTATTAAAAAATCAACAAGAAATAATATATTTTTTAAATAAATTGCTTAATCAAATATGTAAGTAATAAAAATTCTTCTTACAAATTATCTGCTTATTACGTCTACACTAAAAGTGGAAAAATAAAAACCTTAAAAAAAATGTAAACCCCCATTTAGTCATTTTTTATATTTTAGTGCCTGGAAAACGTTTTTCTTTTTAAAAAAAATTGAGTATATAAAACTCTTTAAGATATGTAGAATAAAATATGTATACCTTCGTGTTAAATCCATCCTAATTGACGAGTAGATGTCAATTTTAAACAGGATGTATAATTATTTCCGTTATCATCTTATGGTAGATAAACGAAAATTGACCGTTTAAGTCATTGTATACGTTCGGAAATCGAACTCCTAACCTCTTTAGGAATACGCAGTGCCAATCAGTAAAGAAGTACTTCTATGCTTTACAATTTAAGCATTTTTAAATATACGAGTAGGAAATAACAATTTCTAGCATACTAGATTATTCTCGCAAAGTCTCAATCTCAATATACAATTATTATTGATTCTATTTTCATATAAAATCTGTTATTATTTTTCAAAGTGATTTTAACCCTCTTAAATCTAAATTCCGGACAGCTCATAAAAACTGAGCCGTATTTGCTATTAAATATTTACTTTATACGGAAATTAAAATCTCGATATTAATCTAGAATAATTTACAAAAATTAATATCTAACGCCCTGTATAAAAGTTAGACCAATCAAATTAAGGGCGCAAATTAAAAACAATTCGTGTGTTTTGTTTAACCCTAATCAAATAAAATACGAAAATCCTCAACCACTCACCAGAATTAACAATTGGTAATGTATGCGTAAAAGTCAGATGGAGAGTTAATATTAAAGTGTTGAATTTTAACTAGGGAATTGCTGTGGTTTTGCATGCCTATTTCTTATAATAAAATTATTTTTTATTAATGTATACATTTATATTGGAACTAGCATTGCTCGTGGCTCCGCTCGCGTTCAGATGACCAAAAACCTAATTCTTAGGTTTTACATATTAGTATACTCTTACAATCCAGTTTTTGTATTTTTCTCAAAAATGAGATATTTTCCTGAGGTAAAAAGTATCCTATATGTTGACCCGGATCATCAGCTAGCTAGCTATCATCATACCAAATTTCACTAAAATCTGTCCAGTGGTTTTCTCGTGATGCGGTAACAGACAAACAGACAGACAGACAGACAAAAATTCTTAAAACTATAGATTCAGACTCTGTATCAATAATAAAGTCTATTTCAATTAGACTTTCCGAAAAATATTTAATGTACAGATTCGACTTAGTTACAATTTTATTATAGGTATGTATAGATAGGTCTCTCAGAACTTTTTACTCGTGCTTTCTGATATTTTGTTATAAAAACTTTTCCTATTCAATGATTTCAATTAGTTAATTTTGTTATATTTAAAGTACCTAATAGCATTGCTCGCGGTCGCGTTATTGTTTTACATATAACCAGAAGGGTTCATCTTGATTTTACTAGGAAAAACATACTAGCAACAAACAAATAAATTAAAAATTAAGCCTCCTTGCATGGTTTAGAAATCCATAAAGACAATGCATTTTTTTTACGCCAGGAACCTTCTCAGGCGTATACAGAATAATCCACCAGAGTTTTATCACAATCAGATTAATGAATTAAGAACGTATAGTGGACAAACGTACAAATATTTATTTTTATTTATATAGATAATTCGGGCTTGTCTCAAAATCGATAGTTGATAGTTTCCTTCCTAACTATCTACCTCCCAAACAGCATCATAGCTAGTTTTCAAAATATCGTTTTTAATCATTGAATAAGCCTTTCGCTTTCATATACATAATATAATATATATAACAATATGATAATTATTTAAATGAGATTGAGTATACTTTGAAATTAGACGTTTAGTTCTTATCAAATGAGTAAGGTAATAATACTTCTGTTGTAATTATATATACTAATAATTAATTTATTTATGTAATACTAGTGACTCAGCCTCGCTCTGCTCGGGTTCGTCCCCAGCGTTGTTACGTTAACTATAGATTTCTCAGAGATGAGATATTTTCCCATAGTGTAAAGTATCCTATATGTTGACCCGAATAACTACCATATTAAAAAGTTACATCGATCGACAGAAACCTTTAATTTTTAATTAAGGGAATTATTATATATTGTTTCACCGTTGGCTTTAATAGATTAATAAAAAAAAATTGGCGTACATATGTACACTCAAATTGCATACCATCTTTTATTTTAAAGTCGGTTAAGGTAAAAAAATGGGTGCGTTTGAATAAAACATGGTCTATGCTTTTTCAAATTGATTGACAAATAAACATTATCACAGTATCTTAATATACCAGCTATCATTATACCAAATTTCACTAAAATCTATGCAGTGGTTATCTCTTGATGTGTTCTCATACAGACAGAAATTCTTAAAACTATAGATTCGGCCTCTGTATCGATAATAATGACTATTTCAATAAGATTTTCCAAAAAAATTTTAATGTACAGATTCGACTCAGAATTTTATTATATGTATAGATAATTTATGTAATATATACGAGTACATTGAAGTAAAATAAGTCAAAATATCGTTAATATCTAACGACCTTAGTCGTGAAAATTGAATTATGAACTATTTGAATTCTAAACAATGGTACAATACAAGCAAAGTTCATGTAAATATAATATAATATTGTCAGTGAAAATTTAGACGTTCTCGAATGAAGTTTGTGCTTATTAAATTTATAATGGAATGGATTTGCTTGAATAACGTAGAAATATAGGCATTTGTAAGTAAATTTGATTATAAAATACATATAACTAGACAAATACTCTTGCTTCTCTTGATTGTGTCCCTAAGTCCCTTTTGCGATTTGTCAAAAAACATCGATAATTCTTTTTTTTTTTTATTAACACCTCGCGGCTAATTTCTAAGAAATTAGTAATAACCAAGCCACCTGTGGCTCGGCGGTTGATGACAGCTACTTTCTTTAGTAATAATAGAAAATTTCATTATCAGTAAAAGTAGCTTAGTGTTAGCTGCAGGTCACATAGTCTCCCCCCAAACGTGCGTTCACCTTGTCGTGGTGGGGGGGCTCAGTAGTGCCCGGCAACCCAACCGGGCGCGAAGCCAAGAAACGCACAGGGAGGTTGCTCACTTCGGTGGGCGGTTGGAGGTGGCCCTCTTCGGGGGGCGGTGTACCTTGCGGGTTGCTCCTGGTACTTCTCTGATAGCAGAGTGGACCTTGGAGCAACCCCATGGTTGTGGTGGTCTGCTTCGGCAGACTTGCCGTCGGGGCGTCGTAGTTGGTCCTGCGACGCCCCATTAAGACGGGGGAAGGTTTTGTTGGGTTTAAGTGGGTAGTACTGGCTGTATTACGCCGGTGAGTCCCACACGTCGTGCGTAAATGCATTTCCCAACGTTAAAAAGAAAAGAAAAGGTCACACAGTCTGTCTGAGATATTAATTTATACAAATCGTTCAATATCAAGCGTTTTAGTATGACGGTTGCGTTGAGTAACATACATACGAATGTACAATCTTTAATATCTGTGACATTTAAAAGGCATATTATGTACAATATATTATATACTATAATATGTTTTTTTTTTTGAGCGGAACCCTAATTTTTTTCTAAAATAAAAGTAGGCTCCAAAACTGCTGAATCGATTTAGACAAAATTTGTTAAGAAGATAGTTTGAGACCCTGGGAAGGACATAGAATAGTATTTATACCGGAAATCATCTCTTAAGGGGGTAAAAATGGGGATGAAAGTTTGTATGGGGAAGCAACTTAGGGACGAACCTAAGAGAAGCGGTGAGTCACTAGTTATTTATATTTTTATGGACTTCATAAATAAGTATTTTATTGAACTGTTTTCCTTATGGCTGTTCCGTCAGATATTTAAAATTATTATAAATTTTATTTATACTTTGTTTTTTATTAATAATATTACGCTTTAATGTCGTGGGTATTTGAAATTTTTTATTTGAAGTTTTTTAATGTCACAATTTTTCGTCGTCGATTTTTAAATGTTTAATTTATGTTTTAAGTGTAATTCCACATTAGCACATTTTTGTAATTTAAAATCTGTATTTCTTTTTAGTGCCATAAGGTATTTAACATAATACTATAATATAGGTTCAACAATAGATACCTACATATCGCGCCATACGGCCCGCTCGCATCTTTATAATCGCGTCGCATACTTTCTGACCTAAACTTTATATGGTAATTACTCCACTATATTCGTAGTGTTAGAACATTTCTCAATAAATAACATAAAGTATAAACATATACTATAAAGGTGTAAAAAGAAATTTTCAAACCTGTTGGGTAGTTTCAAAAATTAACGTCTACAAACAATCAAACAAACAACAAACTAACCTTTCAAATTTAGTTTCATAATATTAGTATTAGGGTAGAGCGAAAAAAATTTTTTTTTCTTAGCTTGTGGGCAGAATTTGTAGCTTATAAAAAAAATTTGATTTTGATTTTTAAAGTAAATAATTAATTTAAATGTTTGGTTTTAATGAAAAAAAAAATTATGAAAAAAAAACGGACATAGTCATTTTCTAGTCAACTTTAACTGTAATACAAAAATATAACATGTTATTATTTCAACTTTTTTTTTAATTTTATTACCCAAGCTGACAAAAAAAAAATTTCGCTCCACCATAATTAGCATTGCTAAAGGACTTACCTCTCATTTCTATGGTTATGTGTATTAGAATAAGTATCAAAAATGTAGTTGAGCAACGGTGCGCTGGACCCAGCTTCCCCTGGCTTCTTCCTGCTCTCTAACGCCATAGGTCCACTCACTTCTGTGGTCACTTCGACATATACCGTCTCATTCACTACATCTTTTACTACATTCACTACACGCCTTTGTCTTTTTGTTCTTTGGTTCATTGCATTACTATTGCTTCTTACATCGTCACAGCACGTTTCTTTCTTAATTATACTAGGGAAGTACTTTAGATTACTTGATTCTAAACTATGCAGGTCGTTAAAGGAGTAATTAAAACTGACAGGCATTGAATGATTGTGTGAAGCGTGTAACATTTCATACACTTTATTTATGATCGGTTGAGAAGTTGTTTTTGGGTTTTCTTTTATTATCGTTGTTTCTGCGTCCATTCCTGTGAAATAGAAAAATTAAATATAAATATTTTGGGACAATAACACACAGCACCATCTAGTTCCATGGTAAGCTACGAGGCTTGTGTTATGGATACCAGATAGTTGATACACTACACATATATAACTCTTAAATACATGCTTATTATAAATATAAACACCCATGACTACAAACATTCGTTCTCATCACATTCGCCCATTAGTCCAAATTCAGCTACAATCATTATTGGTATTTTTTTGTTGATAACACTAACGCTCTGTACGCACTGCGATATTTCACCGCACGTTTTTTTCTCGCAATTTTGTAACATATTGAATCTTATAGGAGTAGCCGCACTTGTAGTTAAAATTCACAAAAAAATCTGTGATTTGATGCAAATTGAACGCGATGCGGTGCGGATTTCTCACGGTCGTAAATGAGTGAATGCAATTTTCATGACATACTTTGATAGTTCTGTCACGCTGCCGCCACCGCCATAGTATCAGCTAAATTAAAAAAATTATGTTATTCATTTTAAGACATTCGTCTCAGCCGGAAACTGCATCTAACTAACAAAAATCATACGAAATTTTATTCGCAGTGCGTAATAAATATAATTTCGTTCACGAAATCTAATACGCGAGAATAAAAATCGCACGGTGAAATAAGTGCGGACAGGCGTAAAGCTCTGAATAACCACTGAACCAAAAAAACAGTTGACAAACAGAAGAGAAAAAGGTACCGGGCTATTTTGTCTTTATCTACATAGTTAAGATATATGTATGTTTTGTATGACCTCTATAGGCATATCATAGTTACAGTATATTGTAATAGTCATGTAATTGGCTAAATAATTATTTTTTCGTTTTTTTTGGCATCATTTTTTTTCTATTTTATATATCTCTACAAAAAACTTAAATTTAATTGCTTATGCGTTATATAGAGTACTAACAACTCATACTAGCTTCGCTCGGGTTCGTCCCTGGGTTGATTTCCCATAGAAACTTTCATCCCCATTTTCGCCCCCTTAAAGGATGATTTCCGGGATAAAAACTATTCCTCACCAGGATATCGAACTATCTTATTACCAAACATCTAAATCGGTTCAGTAGTTCCAGAGATTACTTTCTACAAACAAACTCACAAACTTACAAACTTTATCTCTTTATAATATTAGTATGATAAAGGGATTCTGTAAGTAGAAAGCCAGTAGAATAAAAGGGCAATTTTTAATTTTTCTAAAACATTATTTTCATTATATACTCCGATTCCTATCTGCCGATCCAGATATATCATTTAAGAGAAACTCTACATATACTATAATTATAACGGAAGGAAATTTCACATAAAAACAAAATTCTAACGAAAAATCGAAGTTCAAATTCCAAGATCAAGTAGAAATTGCAAAACAAATACTACAACGGTTCTTTTTCAACTCCTTAACATTCTTTAAGTATTTTGGCAGAATCCCTTAAAAGTTTTAACGCGATTAGATTTCCGGTGCTACCGAACATCTTGGAGTGAAAAGTTTGCAAAAAGCTGCCTAAACGGGTTCTACTGGCGAAGCTTTGTATTTTAAAGGAGTTTTTGTTTATAAAAACATTTATAATCAAGTCCATGGATGAAAATAAATAGTTTATTTAAATTCACAGTTAATGAACTTAAAATAATATATAAATAATATATATTCTTCTAATATATAAAATTCTAGTGTCACAGTGTTTGTAACAAAACTCCACCGAAACGGTTTGACCGATTCTTATGAAATTTTGTGTGTATATTCAGTAGGTCTAAAAATAGGAAGTAAACTATTTTTCATACCCCTAAGTGATAAGGGTGGTCCACCCCAAAAAAAATTTTTTAATTTTTTGGACAAAAATTTTTTTTTTATTATTCGTAATTATAAATACATACAAACCTAAATTTTCCTCAAGGACGAACCCGAGCGGAGAGAGGGTAAGTCGCTAGTATAAGTGTGTAAATTATTTTCTCCTTATATAACACATTAAAATAAATAAAATGCTTATTTACAGTGAATTATTTAAGCATTCGATTTAGTAGGAATAAATTACTTTAAAATTGATATCTAGAAACAGACAAACAATGTACTCAACATATTGAAAGTTTTTTAAAACAAAAATAATTATTATTAGCGGTATAATTGTTTTATAGATTTCTTTTGAAGTATATATATATAAATATAAATATATAACTAAAATTGCTTAGAACGATATTATAATTTTATAATTTAATTTATAATTTATTTCTTGTACTATATAAAGTGACTATATAAGGGGTTAAAGTAAGTAAAGCAAGTTGTACAAAAAGTGTCAAAAAATAAGTTGAACTACTATCTCCTAAACCAAGCCAGAGCCTATATTTTCTTTCTTTCTAGTTCTTTTAGCTTCACCTATACAACTGAAACGCTTTTATTCAAATGAGGAAACCTTTTTAAATTTCTACTTAAGCCCTTAAATATTTCAAATTCAAAGAAAAACAAATTCAATGAACAGCGTTATTTTAATTAAAAACGATTTTATATTTACGTTTTTGGAGAGAATTTCAAGCATTTAACTTGAAAAGAAGGTAAATATGACGCGTATTTTAATTTCTTGCAGGCCAGAGTAAGAAAAAACGTAATAATTAGACTCGATGCGGCTTTTACTAAAGCGCTAACGAGGCTTATTAAATTACATAAAATTTTAAATTTCAAGGTATTCTCAAATTACGAAACCCCAAATGAAAAATTTTAAATTACACATTTTAAAAGGCAAAGCCAGAGAAAGATCTATTCCTTCTATCTATTAAAGGTCATTCCCTCGAGAGAAAAAATTAACATATTTAAATAAAAAATAACATAATTATTGTCAAATTAGTAAAGAACACTACTGATGTAACGAGTTAGGTTACTGAGTTCATCGAAACAGACTTAACTTTTTATTTATACTACAAGAGGTGATATTTATGTGTTTTATATATTACTTTCTTAGATTTACGCAAATATTTGACATTTTAAATAAAACTATCTTTTCGGATTATTTCGCGGATTTATTTAGATTTTTGGTTCCCGACGTTTCGAATGCTTTACAGCAATCATGGTCACGAGAGAGACTGAGGTTATAGACGTCTCAAAGGCGTTATACACTTGTTACAGATAGTACCTATCCACTATTTTACAAAAATGATTTCAAAAATTCAAAAATGGAAAAATAAATATTACAATTTTTTTTTAATTTATAAATTACTAATATTATTTAGTGTTGCTATTATTATAATATGTATAATCATAAAGAATATTAGAAAATTAAATAAATATTAATTATTTATCTTAACAATATTATTTTTTTATATGTAATTTGAAAGAAATTAAAATATTAATTTAGATTGCTATTATTTAAAGTTAAAATATTAAGCTAATATGATTCATATTTTTGTCTATAAAGGTAGCAATAGTGCTGATAGCCATTCTATCTGACCTCCCCGCAAGTGATATAAAGCGTGTAAAGTTATACATACTTGATTCTATCTAATATGACATTTTGCATTCACATATTGATTTGAAATAATGGCTTAAACCATTTAAAATAATAAAAAAAGGATGTTTCTCAGTAAATTTATTTGAATATACGGTAGAAAATATGTATTTAAATTTTTTTTTAACTTAAAATATTATTTTTTTTATTTAATAATTTATATATGTAATGCATTTTATGAATGTTACCTTTACACGGTAGAGCGGCAAGCGCGGCTAAAAAAAGCGCCGCAGTGGCCGGCGCACACATCGCTGCTACATCCTTATTGTCTCTGGAACAATATCATTTTAAATTACACAGTTTATACGTTTGAATAGAATATTAATAACTTTCTTAGATTTACACGAATAGTTTGTTACATTTTAAATAAAGCCATGTTTACACTGGCGTTTAGAATGCTTTAAAACAAATTGTTTACTGTAAAGCAGCTATACTCAAGCTGCGGCCCGCGGGTCGTATGCTGTAGCATCAAAATCGCATTATAACATATCTTCTTTAAAAAAATAACTAAGTCTTTAACTTGGAATTACGTTTTCATTAAGACCTAAATAATTTTTGCTTGCGGCCCTCGACACCATGACTGAAACGTGTTTGTGGCTCCTATAAAAAAAAGATTGAGTATGGCTTCTGTAAAGTATTTGAAACTTTGACACTAAATATTATTCTATTTATAATGTACTAGCAGAACCCGCGGCTTTGCTCGCGTTAAAACTACGAAAACTCTTTAAAAAGGTAGTTTCTTACAAACTTTCATCCGCTATTATAGGATGAATTTCGAAAAATGCTAAAACACGTATTAATTTAATTTTATTGAAGAGCATGAATACCAAGATTCAAGTAATTCTTTCTGATCATAAATATTTTTTTGGATTTTATTATAACGTGTTTTCCCGTGGGAATGAGATAATCACCCGCGATAAAAAGTTGCCTATGTCACTATCTAGCCCTCCAACTATCTGCACACAAAAAATCACGCCAAACTGGTACTCTATTTCGATGTGAAAGAAGGACAAACAAACACACTTTCACATTTATAATATTAGTATGGATATAGTAAAAGCGCGAAAAAGTTTGCCGTTGTTTTTTTTTTAAATAAAACATACTTACGAGCCAAGGCTGCAGTGTTTTAAGTCAACTTTTTTTATTTTAAATATTTTCATACACAAAACACGCAGAACAAATAAATATGCTTCACTTATTTTTTAAAATAAATATAAGTATTTACTTCTTAGTTCTGATACCAACGTTAATATTTTGGCGCCAAACTGTTTCAGCTTTTTATTTTTTTGATTTATTTCATTTAAGTAAGGCTAAGATCGAATACCAAACAGCCTCTTCAAATATTATAATTTATTTCATTTTTTTATTAGATTAACGAATATAAAAATATTATTAACTGTTTGATCAGTAGGTCAGAGTTATTACTTTTCTATCAAGTAATAAGTAATTAAAAATAATAGTTATTATAAAAAATATGACAAGGTACATTATAAAATTAAAATAAATATTTTAAACTCTTAATGGCCTTACTTATTTAAATATAGATGTTTTTCTTCGATTTTTTTATGAAAGAAGAAAAGCATCTTATTTTTACAGCTTATGTACATATATTAAAAAATATTAAAAAAAAACTACTTTTTAAATATGCCTGCCCATACAAAAAAAGTATTATAAATAGCAACACTTAATATGACTTTATTCAGATAATGTTCTATGTCCAAAAAATAGAACTATTGATATTTCATACAGTTTCTTTGAAACTATCAAAAGCACTGAAATTAAATGAAACATGGAACAAAAAATACTCATTACGGAGACGAAAAAGAAAAAAAAAAGAAAATTAACCTAAAAAAAAAATTAACTGACAGGTGTTGCTGTTAAAATTATTTACTCGCATTATTAAGGACAAATTAATCCAAAAATAATTATTTTAATTGGCAGCTTTCTCACAGCTTAATGAAAATGTAAATTAATTTTTCCATTCGTAAAATGTCAATATGCGTTAATATTCATCACCTTAATTTTATAAATGGCAAAATCAGATTATTAATTAAAGGAATTTACATCATCTTGTTAAATATGTATATTATATAATATGTACAATCTATTATAATCAAATTCTAACTGAGGCGAATTTGTGCATTAAATATTTTTAGGAAAATCTTATTGAAATATTCATTATAATTAATATACGAATCTGTAGTTTTTAGATTTTTTGTTTGTCTGTCTATCTAGGACCGCATCACGAGAAAGCCACTGGATAGATTTTGATGAAATTTGGTATGAAGTTAGCTGGTTATCCGGGTTAACATATAGGATACTTTTTACTGCGGGAAAATATCTCATCTCTGAGTAATCTATACTATCGGTTAAAAATTACCTAGGGATGAACCCGAGCAGAGCGAAGGTGAGTCGCTAGTGTATTCTATGTATATAGACGGAATGATTTTGTTGTTTATGTTATTCTTCCCGTTTTTCTATTGTGTAATAATTAAAATAATACTATATTCTTTTGTATTTTTCAAGCATTTCTATTTATTCTTCTTGAAAGAAAGATAGCATAATATTAGATTCTTTTTCTTTATTATAATAATATAATAGCCATTTTGTTAATACTCAGTAGATAAATTGTAATTTGCATAAAATATTATATATATATAATATAGTTATAACTAGCACTGCCCGCGGCTCCGCCCGCGTTCAGGTGACCAAAAACCAAATTCCTAGGTTTTACGTATTAGTATACTCTTTGCAATGTAAGCATTGCAGTTTTTGTATTTTTTCTCAGAAATGAAACACTTTTCCCACGGCAAAAAAGTAAAAAGTATCCTATATTTTGACCCGGATAACCAGCTATCTTCTTACCAAATTTCATCTAAATCGGTTCAGTACATCCAGAGATTACCCCCTAAAACGTCACAAACTCACAAATCCACAAACAAACTTACAAACTTTAGCTCTTTATGTATGGATTGTTGGTTCGTTTTCAGAGTAATCAACAAAACAAAAACTATAAACGCATATATCTATATATTTGCTGAAAATTAAATTAAAATATTGGATTACAATTTCAAAAAGCCGATTAAATTTACATTACACGAAAATCTATATCACGTCATTGGACTAGTTAGCATATCGTGTAAATGCCAACGTTGGCGTTGACATGTAATTATCTGGTTCCCTGTATTCTGATTGGGAGATTATTATTATAGTGTCAATTAAAAACTTTATCCCACTTACCACGCTAAAATTATAAACTAACGACTTACCCACGCTTCACTCGGGTGCGTAATTTTTTTGCAGCGGACCTTACAATCTTTTTCTAAAATAAAAGTAGCCTAAGTTACTCTTTATAACAGCTATCTGCCATTTTAAATAAAAATATCTTTTCGGATTTTTTCGCGAATTTATTTTGATTTTTGGTTCCCGATGTTTCGAATGCTTTACAGCATCCATGGTCACGGGAGAGACTGAGGTGTTACATGTCTTGAAGGTATAGTTGTTACAGACAGCCTACCCACAATTAACAAAATGATCTGTTCTCCAAAAAGATAGTTTTATTTAAAATGTCAAGTATTCGCGTAAATCTAAGAAAGCTATCTGCCAGTGAAAGTTCTATCAAAACCAGTCTATACTTCGAAGATTAGTCGAAACGAACACAGACAGACAAAAAATTTAAGGAAAGTGTTTTTCTTATGTATCTACCGTAGGTATTATATATAAATTTTAAGTGCATTTAGTAAAAAGCTCTTATTTCGACATTACAAACAGACATTTCAATTTTATTTATCTATACGTTGCGAATGTTTGTGAGTGTGCGTGCTTGTAACGTTTTCACGCAGTAACAGAAGATAATTTTTTGTTATTACTTTGAAAAAAAATATAGCTATTGTCTTTTCTAGTTGCACTCATATTTTTAATAATAATAAGAACAAGGTTTATCTTTCTGTTAAAACTGTTTAAACTATAAAATGAAAGTTATCAAATTTGCTTTCATTGAAATGAAATTTCTTTTTGAGAAAATTTTATATTAAAGATAAATGACATCATGATATATTTACACTTAAATTTTATTTTTATTTTTGTACCTAAAGATATTGCTAGCCATGATAGTACAAATATCGTAATAATCAAAATATTTAGTTCATATAAAATGGCAACATTAATTTTGATTTTAATTATTATCTCTATCACACTAAATTATTTTTAAAAATATTACAAAACTGTAAAACTTTCCGTTAAAAGAAAGTTTTTCAGTGTATTTTTTACTCTGTTGTATGAACATAAAAGTTGAGGTGCATTTAACACTATCACGAATACCATTAGTTGTTATGACCAAAATTATGTACTACTAGCAGTACCTGCGGCTTCACCCGCGTTTTAACTTCCGATAAAAACATCAGTTTTACCATAATGTATGGAAGTCTGCCCGATTTGTTGACATTTATGATTACTACTCCGCTCCCTTGGGAAGTAGCATGATGATATATAGCCTATAGCCTTCCTCAATAAACAGGCTATCTAATGCAAAAATATTTTTTTAAATCGGATTTGTAGTTCCTGAGATTAGTGTGTTCAAACAAACAAAGAATCTCTATCGCTTTATAATATTAGTATAGATAAGAAAATAGTATTATTTTAAATAAAAGGTGAATGTTCATATTTTTCATATGCTACTGCTCTTCATATTATATACTTAATTTTTCCAATTTGGTTCATTAAGCAGTGCGATGTTTATAAATCTCAAAAAGCTTTAAAAAGGTCATTTACAAAATATATGTCCTTTTCCTCTACTTTACACTTATTTTTGGTAAAAGCTAAAAGCTAGTGGAAGCACTACATTTAATTTTTTTACCTCTTATACCGAAATATGGTGATTCTGTCACATAATTTTTTTAGATAAGATCTTTTGAAATTTAAATTTCACATTCTATGGAAAAGTTTGAAAGAACTTTCGGTTAAAATAGATTTTATGTACAGCTTTATACCACCTGCGCTCGTTCGTTTTGAACTCGAATTTGGTTAACAAATGCTAAAACTTTAATTAGAAAGTTTTATAATCTACATAGTTCTTTACCGATATTTTGCCACAATGGTTCACTATTTTCTAAGTGTCTTCATCGAATAAATAAATTCGAAGGAATATATTACTGCCTAATAAGGCAGGTCTATTGATCTCATTTATTGATCATAATATCTCATGTTTGCGATCGTTAGTATCAAGATGAAAATAAATAATAAATAAATAT